CCATATATACTTACTAATGTAAATTTTAATACATTGTTATGTATAATAACTACATTTTTCAATTGTGTTTTTATCATTTTTTTAATTTCCAGTTACAGTTATTTTCCATGCAATTAATGCACCGTAAAAATATATTTTCTGCAAAAGTGTTTATTGTGGACGCTACGCTTCTTACTGCGGTGAGTAATCAATTATATTTACTTTTGTTAAATAAATGTATATATTTAGCTCTATTTTAAAATAGGCACTGTTTTCTTAGATGGTGGGAGGTGTGGTCACGTATATATTAATTTTATTACAATTTTTGTTAATGTCAAATATTTGCAATGGAATACCTTTAATTTATTTGAAAGGTATAATCTCTCAGTAAAATATCTACATCGAACACAGAAGATACTTTAAATAATAATATAAGATATATATATTTTTTGATTATTTATTATTGTAAGTAAAATTAATTATTATTATTATAACTAGAATTTCTCGAAGTGTTTTGTGCTTAAAGATATATTTATACAATATATACACTGCCGTGAAAAATGTCTTAATGAACTTTCGAACTTTAATTCCTCAACTTTATAACATGTATATGTTAATATAGTATGTGTTATAACATGTATATGGTAAATGTACAATAAATTTGATGATTCGTGTATATATTCTTTAAAAAAATACTATTTATAAAGAAGGGTTCTCTGTTTGTCAAGTAAAGAAGAAAATGCAGATCTCATAGTTGACAGTCCATGATATTATCAAACATTTTCGCAAGAGGAATCGAAAACCGCAGAAGAACGGTTACAAATTACAATCTTTGCTCAAAATAAAACAATTAATTTTTTGTTTTATTGATCTTTCATATATATAGTATATATATATTATATATATATAGTATTTAGTTGCTTTATCAAGTCATGTTATCTTTTATCAAAAATACTAAAAAATATTTTTAAAATACATTATATGGAGCAAATAAATCATTATTTATTATTAATTTATTTATATTTGTCGTTCTGTTCCTAAATTCATATTTGCATGACATATTTTTATTATAACTTTGCTTATTTACTTATATACGAATCTAATTAAGAACTACGAAATATCTTGATAACGTTTATTCGCTTTATACATGATCTAGATGTGCAAGATTGTGGATGACATTTAATTAAACATCATTCCATTATACGTGTTCCACAGATAAGCAAAACGCCATGGTTACTTCATGACTAACAAATTACTGAGTCTTATTTCGCTGTACGATGCAATAATTATTAGTAGTTTTAAAATTAAACTCGCCAAGTGTAGTTAAACTCTGAGAAGTTTATGACAGTTTACGCATTCTTCGTGGAGATAAACAATTATATTTGAAAGAGAATTTCTTGTAAATACGCTGCTGCTAAAGTGCATTGAGAACATAATTAATATCTTTTCGGCTATAGTGCGTTATTTAAATTATTGTGTTTTTATATATAATCCAGCAAACATGTTTAATTTATTATTGAAGTTCCAAGCATTCATAAGTAAAAGAAAAGGGAAGATATGGCAACTGTTCTGCGCCACGGATTTTGAGTCGTTAATGTATCCTTGCTTCACTTTTTGTCTCATTCTGGGAATATTTCCATACAAGATCAACGCTTCAACCATTAAGTCTTGCAAACTGTACTACATTCTATCGACTATCATTTTCTGCGCTTTTTGTGTTGACGAAATAATAAGTATCTATGATATCAATAATTCTAAAAATATTGCATTCAAAAGCGTACCTAGGATACTTCAACTTAATTGCTTTCATATTTTCGGCGGTTTCATAGTAATTGGAACATTTCTTTTGAGTGGACCACGAATGCGCTTACTTCAAACAATACTGAATCTCTCTTTAAGATTATCCCCGGAAACATATAAGAATATATCTAAATTAATCCATGCTAAGGACATTTTTGGTTTCTTCTTCTTAATCATACAAGCATCGATATATTTTCCTAATATGCAAGATAGCGTCTTCCGCTTGGTTGTCGTAGAATACATAATCCTACTAGTGTTTCAAATGGATATGCTATACATGAATTGTGTTTGTGTTTTAAAAGCTTGTTTCAAGCAAATCAACGACAATCTGGTGAATCTTCGAAGATTCGTGGCGCACCCTAAGCCATATTTTTTGAGAGAAATCTATCAGAGACATCTATTCCTATTGATGGAACTTAAGGCCTTGGAAAAGCAGCATCTAACAATTAGCGATGCAGTACAGATGTTGACAACGACCTTCAGTTTACAACTCCTTTGCACAATAATTTTGACCTTTATTCAAATTACTTTCAGCCTGTATTTTTACTTAATACGAATACAAGGGGGTATGTCTGCAAGCAATCTGGAAAATCAGGTCTATTATAAGAGCTTCATTACAGCTGTAACATATTACATTATAAAAACAGTGTTGTTAGTATGGTCTTGCGAAACCAATAAGAATCAAGCCATGGAAATCGGTGTTACCATTCGCAATATGTTTAATAACATCAGTGATAAGGAAATAAAATACGAGGTAAATTTTTTAACAAATTTACATAACTTAATTCGCACATTTTATATATTTTACTAATTATATCTCGTGTATACTAATGTAATTCTTAATACTATAATTTATGAGATGTGCAATTTGAATCCTGTATTTGACAATTTTTTGATCTTTTATTGCAGTTGCAGCTATTTTCCTTACAATTAATGCATCGTGATCGTGAAAATATATTTTCCGCAAAGGGATTTATTGTGGACGCTACACTTCTCACTGCGGTGATTAATATATACATATATTACTTACTTTCATTTAATAAATGTAGATATATTTAACTTTTTTCATGATCTTATTTTTTAGATGGTGGGGAGCATTACTAAGTATCTATTAATTTTAATACAATTTTTATTAATGTCGAATTCTTGCGATGAAGAAACTGTAATCAATTTTATACATACAATCTGATTAAGATAAAAGTAATTGAATATTAAACAGACATTTTAAATATTAAGTACTTATTTTCATTTTTATGTTTATCATTGTAAGTAGAATATTATTTCGCCTTTGTAAAAATATTTGTATAAATGCATACACGCGCGCATACAGTAGCGAGCAGAGAAAATATGCGACTTAATTTTGTCCATATAATTATTATACACATTGTTTAACAATATAATAAATTTGTATACGATACAGTATTGTATTGGAAACATTTTAAATCAAATTTTGATATACAAGTTGGATATACCCAACGAATATTTTTGAAGTTATTAATTTTTGTCTATATAATGGACAAATTGATTGATAGTATGCAAAATAGATGTAACACTGTAATCAAAGCCAGCGCTAGCTCGACTAGATATTAATAACGTATTTTAATTTTATAATTGCTTTTTTATTGATTTAAATTTTTATAAACGTATATAAAAACAAGAAAAAAATTACTAAAATATAATTTTAAAAAATAGTTATATATTTTTTACTTTTATGTCTTTTATAATAAAGTCTTCTTACAGATTGTATATTTTTAAGTAACATATTAAAAAATGGCATCAATATCATTAAGAGAAAATATTTAAAAAATTAATATTTTTTATCTTTTGCTCGCTACCGTAGTAATAGTACTATGTAAAGGGAATTTTAAAAATCATATGTATGGTTGTAATTATACAAATAAGCAGTATACGAGTATGGTGCAGTTGTAATTGCGACTAATCGAAACTTTTCTACAAATAATTATATTTTATTGCAATTATCAATACCGGTATTCTGCTGAGATTTCTTCAATTTTCAAAGTAATGTAGGTTATAAAGTGTTTAATAATAAATAACAGCTTATAATAAATACTTTTTGTATGTGTATTTGTAAATAAATTTAAAGATTTAATAATTTAATATAACTTTTGAGAGAGAGAGAGAGAGAGAGAGAGAGAGAGAGAGAGAGAGAGAGAGAGAGAGAGAATATTTTATAAAGATGTTTGGAAATATATTATATGTAATATATGTATATTAAACCTCATTTATCAACAATAAGTGTAATAAAATTTTATTAAGGCATAACGTGATATACTGTCGTATTGATATATTGCAGTTTAAGTTTTTTGTAATTCTATTATTTTGTCTTCGAAGTACAACGAATTAACCATATTGGAATAATTTGTAGTTTGTAGACAATAATATAGAATGTACTTATTAAGAATTTTATCAGATAATATATCGATTAATTAAGATAATAGTATCATTTTTTACGAAGTCAATTCTCTTATAATAATGCATTTATTATACCTGTTTTTTATGATGACATCAGTGTTTCTCAAAACGCACATAGCATTATTTAACAATATTTGTGTGTACAAAATTTACGCGCGTATAGGCACATGCACAAGGTATAATTTAATATATATGTTTTAATAAACACACAAGGAGAAATATTTGTAATTTATATAGATAGTCAATGTGTATAAAGTTCAGAAAACAAATATTAATTATAACATTATAAATAGAAGTAGAAAATAGCAATTTTAATTTTTTTGCATCCCAATTCGTGTATGTATACATTTGTATATATATTGTTTGTCGGAAAAACCAAAAAGATTAAATCTCGAAGAGTCATGATATAGAAAAATTGAACATTCCATTTATAATAAATTTTTAAATATAATAAAAAAATATTTTAAATATAAGAGTGTAAAAACGATTTGTAAATGGATCCTTGAAAAAGCCACTGATCCACATAGGTACTATGCAATTTATATCTTTTGCTAATTCATTTATGCACGTGTTAGAGCAATTACATTCCTTTATGTTTTCTGCCCTAATGGTGATAAATGTTTATTAAAAAACACCATGGTTACCTGACAACTAACAAACTCCTTGAAAAAATTGAAATAAATTCTTAAAACACATATTAAGAATAAAGACCTCGTAATTACAGTGTACACGACAAAGTGCATTTATAAAATGATGAATAGTTATTCTTTCGTGACGCTCTACTAATCATGTTCAGCTCGTCGTCAAAATTACAAAGACGAGCAAATGACAAAATGGGGAAAAAATCGCAGCTGTTCCACGCTACGGATTTTGAATCATTGATGTATCCTTCCTTCACATTTTGCTACATTCTTGGAATATTTCCATATAAAATCAATTCTTTGGTCTTCGAAACGTCCACACCTCGCTATATTCTTTCAACCATCATTATCTGTGTTTGTTTAATTTCTTTATTATACATTCTCTATATCATCGACATTTCTGGAAGTGAGTACGAAGACGTCCCCAGAATTCTCGATCGTAATTGCTTCTACATACTCAGTAGTTTTATAGCGATTGTCACGTATATTTTGAGTGGACCTCGAATGCGTTTGCTTCAAACCTTAAAAAAGATTTCTTTAAAATTGCCTTCGGAATCATATCAGAAATTATCCAAATTTATCCACGCCAAGGACGTCTTGGGTTTCTTTTTTCTTCTCATGGAAGTACCAATATATTTCAATTTAAATATTCATATTCTAATGAAGATTTTTGTAATATACGTTACCCAGATGATGTTTCATATGGATATGTTGTACATGAATTGTGTTTGTATAATAAAGGCCTGTTTTAAGAGAATCAATGATAATCTAGAGAACATGCGGGAGTATACGATGGATAATGAAGTACATCATCTTGGCAGGATGTGCTATAAAAAAAGAAGTTCGTTTTTGTTAATCCAAGTAAAGGAATTGAGAAAACAGCATATGATGATTAGTAACACAGTGCAGATGCTGAACATGATTTTCAGTTTGCAGCTCCTCGCTACTATAATTATGACTTTTATCCAGATCACTTTCGAACTTTATTTTTATATATTGTATTGGCAAAGAAACATAGTCATGTTAAAAGTAAATAATTTTTATAGCTTATTTTTGAAGATGTCTATAATATATTATTCTATAAAAATAATGTTGATGGTGTGGGCTTGTGAGACTGGTAAAAATCAGGCTCAGCAGATTGGTATCACTGTTCATGACATACTAAACAGTGTCAATGATAAAAAAATCAAAAGCGAGGTAATAAAAAAATGTAATTTAATTTATACATTTTAATGATTATGCACCACATGATCTCTAATACAATATTTTTACACATTATATTTAATAATTTATAATTACATTTAGCGATTTTGTTATTAATTAATTTATGATCTAATGTTGCAGTTACAGTTGTTTTCCTTGCAAATTATGCATTGCGATAATACGTTCTCCGCGAAAGGCCTTACTATGGACGCAAAACTCCTTACTGCGGTAAAATATTTATTAATCATTTATCTTCACACATGTTCCAAAAGTGATTTATTCATCCTTTTAATTTTGGTTTTTAGATAGTGGGTAACATCGGCACGTATTTATTAATCTTGATGCAATTTTTGAACATGAAGTATTATTGCGATGAAGAAATTACCACAAATACTACACACGCATAATTTATTGAAATAAAAATATATTATAAGAGTTATATATTAAAAATATATTATTAAAAGATGATTAAATGTTTATTTTATTAGTATGACTAAATAACACAGAAATTGATCGCACGCTTCAAAGTTCAGTTTTCATTATTTGATGAAATAAATGATAAAGTTTACGAAACATTAGCATTAACAATGGATCATGACACGATAGTATTTCTTTGGCACATATTATATAAATTCAGAAAATAGTTTAATTTTTCGTATAATTAGATGTCATAGCTATTGGTTTTACTGCGCTTACATTAAGTTAAGATAAATCAATGTAAGTATCAATAAATCAATATAAAATGTATATATAACATGCAAAAAATATATTAAAATGTATTAGATTACGTAAACAGGTATTCCTTGAAGGTATATTTGCTCTTCAAACTTCATTTATCAACAATAAACTTATAAAATTTTGTTGAAGCAATATTCGATACATGCATTATCACAATAATAAAATTCATGACTTTATTAAAAAATAAAATTGATCTTCTTCAAACAATTTGTGGTCTATATATAGGCTATGACGTAACTGTTAACTTTCATTAGTCGAAATAAAAATCGACTGATTCTAATCTAGATAAGGCGTTGCATTATAATAACTTGACACGTATATTTCGCAATATTATATTTGCTAATAATTTGCTCATATGTCTTTTTAATACATACCAATGTGTTCCAAAATGTATTTAACATAATTTATATAATCGTCTTCGTGTAAAACATTCACATGCGTGCATACACATACAAATTTGAATTTACTGTATTTTAATAAATACGCAAAAGTATTTGTGATTCATAATTAATCTGTAAATTAAACTCAGAAATTAAATATTAATAATAACATTTTGAATAAACAGAAAATGAATATTTTAATACTTTTGTATCTTGAATTACACATTAGTGTAATGTATATTTAAATATATGTTGCTTGTGACACTAAAAAGACTGAAACTTGAAGAATTGTGAGATATAGAAATACCAAACGTCCCATTTGCAAAATAAAAAATTTGGAATTTTTAAATGATCAGTATTTATTAATGAATCCTTGAAAGAGTTATTAATCTACAAGAATACTATATAGTCTATATTTCTTGCTTCGTGTGTATACATATATAATTCACAGCAATTACATATTATTTATTTTCTACACTTCAATGACGTCGATCGAAGGGTACCATGGTTACTTCACAATTATAAACAAATGACCCTTTAAATTCTCACCATTGGACGCGAAAAAACTACTTGTAGTTTTAAATTCCAGTTCAGTGTGACTAGATCAACATAGTGAAGAATCCTATATATATTTGTTGTAAGAAGACATACCAAGAATAGAATTTTTACAATTATGTTCACTTGATGATGAAGTGCATTTATAAACTAATTAATAATTTTAAGCTGTTCTTTCGTGAATTATTAATTATATTCAGCCCATCGTCAAAATTACAAAGACGAACCAATGGCAAAATGCAGAAAAAATGGAAGTTATTTGAGTTATTTCACGCTACTGATTTTGAATCATTGATGTATCCTTCCTTCACATGTTGCTACATGCTTGGAATATTTCCATATAAAATTAACGCATTGGCCTTTGAGGCTTCAACATCACGTTATATTTTTTCAACCATCACCATCTGTGTTTGCTTTGCTTCTTTATTGTACATTCTCTATATTATCAACATTTGTGGATGTATCAAGTACATAAATGTACCTACAACTCTTAACCGTAATTGCTTCTATGTACTCAGTGGTTTTATAGCGGTTGTTACACACATTTTGAGCGGTCCCCGAATGCATTTGCTTCAAAGCATAAAGGAGATTTCATCAAAATTGCCTTTGGAATTATATCGGAAGCTATCCAGATTAATCCATACTAAGGACATCTTAGGATCCTTGTTCTTACTTCTTCAAACGCCGATATTTTTGAAGATGAATATTCATATTATAATTAAAATTTTCATAATATACGTTAATCTGCTGATATTTCATATGGATATGCTGTATATGAATTGTGTTTGTATACTAAAGGCTTGTTTCAAGAGAATCAATGATAATCTGGAGAATATGCGGGAACAAATGATGATACATAATCTCAACAAAATATGCTACAAACAAAAAATTTCATTCTTGCTGATCGAATTAAAGACATTGAAAAAACGTCACCTAATAATTAGTAACACAGTGCAAACGTTGAACATAATTTTCAGTTTACAGCTCCTCGCTACTGTAATTTTAACTTTCACCCAGATCACTTTTGATCTCTACTTTCAAATATTGTATTGGCAAAGAGACATATCTATGATGGATATAAATGGTTATAGTTATAGTGCGGTTTTGGCGATATTTACAATGTATTATTTTGTAAAAATAATGTTGATAGTGTGGGCCTGTGAGACCAGCAAGGATCAGGCTATGCAGATTGGCACCAGTATTCATGATGCGCTTAACAGTATTGGCAACAATAGAATAAAAAATGAGGTAATAAAAAAAATGTAATTTAATTATATATTTTTTTAAACACATGTACCATATATGATATTTAATGCTATATCTTACATTTAATATGTAAAATATGAATTTATGATTCTTCGATCTTTATTAATTAATTTACAATCTAATGTTGCAGTTGCAGTTGTTTTCCTTACAAATTCTACACCGTAAAAATACATTCTCCCCAAAGGGTTTTGCTATGAACGCAACGCTTCTCACTGCGGTAAATTATTATTCATTTGTCTTTGTGCATCGAAAGCGATTTATTATTAATCTTTTTAATTTTGGTTTTAGATAATAGGTAGTGTCAGCACGTACTTATTTATTTTGACGCAATTTTTGAATATGACATATTATTGCGATGATGAAGTTACCAAAAATGTTACACAAATTCACTAGTATGAAAAGATATTAGAATAAAAAAAGAGAATAAATATCTATTTTAATAATAAAAAATTATATTTTTTATTAGAATGTTTTAATAAAACATGATGACAATGTTATAATAACTTCTAATAGATTTACATATCGTATAAGGTGTATACATAAATATACATATGTATATATCTATATATGTGTATATGTAGAAATTTTAATTTATACTTTCTTATTGGTATTTATATTGATTTGTTTTAACCTTTATATATAAGTGTACTGAAACACAGAGATTATTATGTATAATGGATCTAATTAAAAATGAAAAATTTTTTGTTAATGTATTTATAATGTTTTACATAATACATTTAAACAAGTAAATCATGTTAAATTTTAACTAGATGTTAATATACACACACACACACACACAAGTAGTATAAAGTATGAGTTTCGCCTCCATGTATATGTATATGTACAGACATACATACATACATATATATATATATATATATATTGTATATTATATATACTATATATACATATATGTATATAAAGACAAATTTTATACTACTTGTGTATTAACATTTAGTTGCAACTTAATATGTTTTACTTGTTTAAACGTATTATGTAAAACATTTAAATACATTACTAAAAAAATTTATATTTTCGGAATAATTAGGTCTTTCATATAATAATTTGTTCGTTTATTGCTTTTACATTAAAAAATAAAAATTGAAACATCAATATAAATGTCAATAAATCAGTATAAATTAAGATATCTATAAACTCGCAAAAGTATAACAAAACGTAATAGACTGCTTATAAAAAGTTCCTTAGAGATATTTATTCTCTGCTATCCATTCATTAATAAAATGCAATTAATTTAATTTAATTGTTGTAACAAAATTTATAAAATTTCCTTAAATTTTATAAAATTTGAAATTTTTTTGTTAAGGCAATATTCGATTTACGCATTATAATAATAATAAAATTTATGTGCGTATCCGATCTGCCCACTATTAAAATACAAAAATTTATCTTGTTTTATTAATTTGTGTTGTCTGTAGACCATAATGCAAATGTTAACAATTTCATTAGTCAAGATAAAAAGTCGATTAATTTTAATCCAGATAATAGCGTTGCATTTGCATTATAGCTTGGTTCATTTCACGATATTACATTTGTTATTCACGCCCTTTGCGAGAGACAATATTACTTTTTCGCAATATGTACACAGCGTAATTTAATGATATTCTTGTACTTAATGTATTTTAACAATATTCTTGTACAATATTATATACAATACGATGCAATATATATATATATATATAAAATACATAAGTTAAGTTGTTACAAATATGAAGAAGATAAATAATGTTAATTCTTTATTATATTAGTTATATAGAGTTAATTTACTCGTTGCTGCGTTATGTTCTAAAATTCATATATATCGTTTAAAAAAATGAAAAAATTGTTGTATATTTGAGTTGTACTAGTATGTTTATATTAAAAATATATAAAAATTTAATAGTTGTTAACAAGAGTGCTAATAAGAATATTTATATATTATATATCGGATGCTTATTAAAATAATAAAATTAATAAGCTTTTAATTATCTTACTAGACGATATAAAGATATAATAACTGATAATCGAAAAACATCAAAACTATTTACTACCAATAAAATGACACCAGTTTCAAGGCAATAACTTGCATATTGAAATTCTCTGAGAAATTAATCAAAGCATCAATCTCGTACATTGATTAAAAGTTTATATCGATTTACGTATTTGTTAGAATTCAATCTACTTAGATATTGTCACAGAAAAAAATATGCATTTTCAAAATAAAATTAATATAGATATAAACCTTAATCATTTTTATGTAGTGTAATATATACAATATGATATAATTTGTTGTGTACTCATATTTGCTAACAATGCTCTCAGTTTGTTGATAAACTTCCAAGTATAAAAAGTGAAAAAAATATAATGTGCCATGCTACAACTACTTTCAATTGCTGATGGGTCCCTGCTTCACTTTTTGCAGCATTATTGGAATATTTCTGTATAAAATTAACAATTTAACTTCCAAACAGCATTATATATTACCAATTGTCATTCTTTCTTCTCTGCATTTATGATTTGTTAGTGAGATTGACATTGCAACGATCAAATTCAAAAGCGTAGGAGAAACCAAGGATAAAAATAACCTGCAGCAAATTTAATATTGTAAGCGTATCTAAAACAAATGAACGAATTCAAACGTGTTTTACATGTTAATTGCTTTGGTTGATTCTACTCAAGCAAGGCGTTAAGTTGAGCGATTATTTGTACAATACATTTGTGTGTTGAAAAATTATATGTAATGTTTTAATTCAATATTATTTGTTATATATATGTGTATATTAATATATGATCATATTTCTATATGTATCGACATATATCGCTTTTTAATTTATCTAGTATTGTTACAATACATGTTTCCTTCATAATATTATTAATATTTAATATTTTATTAATCATTAATTTAGCGCAAGAAAATGAATAGTATAAACTGTAATACACGCTTTGTAATACTAATTAAGCAAAAATTGCTACATTTTTTAATTCATAATGCACAAAGGTGCATTACAAAATTAATTATTACCGATCGAAGAACACCATGGTTACTTTCTACTAACAAATGACGTTAGCGTTCCAAGGCAGTAACAACGCAGTTATTAATTGAAATATTCTGAGTGTAGATCTAAGAAAAGTCTATTTTTTTTAGTCTATGTATTTATTAATATATATATATTCACAAAAAGAAAGTCTCTGTCGCACAATAAAACATATACCAATATTACAATACAATAACAATAATCATTTCGTGCAATATACAGTACATAAGTAGATGTTGTATATTTATATCCTGCTGATAATGCTTAATTTATCAACAAAATTTCAAGGATGCACCAAGTGCAAAAAGTGGAAAAAATGGCAATTGTTCCATGCTACGGATTTTCAATCGTTGATGTATCCCTGCTTTACCTTCTGCAATATTCTTGGAATATTCCCGTACAAAATCAACGGTTCGACTTTCGAAACTTCTAAACAGTGTTATGTATTACCAACTGTTGTTCTTTGTATTCTCTGCATTTACGAGCTAGAAGTGCTTTATGAGATTGACATTGCTAGAACGATCCAATTCAAAGGAGTACCTAAGACACTTGAGCGTAACTGTTTTTACATACTTGGTAATTTTATCGCGGTCGTTACATACATTTTAAGCGGTCGTCGAATGCACTTGCTTCAGACCATAATGAATATCTCTTCGAAACTACCTGCCAATTCATATCAAAAGCTGTCTAGATTGATCCATGCCAAGGACATCTTCGGTTTCATCTATTTAATTGGACAAACGATGTTCTATTGTTATTCGTTGGATTTCGATAATTGGCACAGAGCTTTCGCACCGTATCTTAATTTGATAGTGTTTCAAATGGATATGTTGTATATAAATTGTGTTTGTGTATTAAAAGCTTGTTTTGAAAGAATTGACGATAATCTGCTAAACTTGCAAAATCATGTGACAAACAATGAGCCATATATCCTGAAGCAAATCTATCACGAGCGTAGAAATCCATTCCTGTTAATGGAACTCAATGTTTTGAAGAAACAGCATCTGATGATTAGCGACGCAGTGCAAATGCTAAATTTGATTTTTAGTTTGCAACTCCTTGCTAGCACAATTATAACTTTTGTCGAAATTACTTTCTATCTGTATTTTTATATAGTACATTGGAGAAGTGGCACATTAATGAACCATCTGAACAAAGGGATTTACGATATTTATTTGCTAGTGATTATGATATATTACTCTGTAAAAATAGGATTGATAATATGGGCATGCCAGACTGGTAAAAACCAGGCCGAGAAAATTGCCACTACCGTTCATGACGTAATTAATAATATTTCAGATGCGCAAATAAAAAACGAAGTAATTAAAAAAATATATCTTTAACTAAAAGAAATCTTGCAGAGTTAATAATGGTAACTCTGTATTCAACTTTAATCTCACATATTACAGTTGCAGCTGTTTTCCTTGCAAATAATGCACCGCCAAAATGCATTCTCCGCGAAAGGTTTCATTATGGATGCTACTCTTCTCACTGCAGTAAGTAAACGTTATATTATTTGTTTCTTAATTAATTCAATACAGACATTATTTACTTTTATAATTCTGATTTTAGATAGTAGATAACGTAACTACATATGTATTAATTTTATTGCAATTACTCCTGTTGCAAACGCAAGTTTGCAACAGAGAGTTAGCAATTAATGATATACAAATGATCTTTTAAAAAGTATATGATAATTAATAATAAAAAATATATCATTAAATAGTTACATAGAAATACACTTTTTTAGTGTTATAAAATATATGCATATACATAATATGTTGTATAGATAAATTGTTATATCGTGTATATAAACAATATTCTGTTAATATGTATACCTGTATTTTTTTTTGCTTACGTATACTTTGTAGAGTAATAAATATATTTGTGAAAGGTATCGTTTTGAGCTCATTGAATACATTATTTTGTTAAGAAATTATGATATATTGATGTTGATATCTCAGTAAACTGATATAATTTTGAAATTACTTCTAATATTTAAATGAGAAAGAAAAACGTTTAATTAACATTCTAAATTTTCTCTCAAAATATCACGCATTGTTTTGCAATGGCTTAAAGTTTAATTATATAAAAATCAAGAGAATAAATGAATTAAGCAATATTTAATCTCAATGTCGTAATATAGAAATTTTTAATATTCTATATGTACAATAAAATTTAATATACTTTTATTATAATTTTGTATAATAGTTAATTTATTAAGGTTACTTTGAAGAAGTTATTAGTTCTTTGTAGAACACAATATTTGACGTATGTATAGATAATTTTCTAAGTTATATAATATAATAGTTACGTTTTACTTCGCTATACTCTGCACATCAAAGGTAATGATTACCGTTCGAACAGCACCATGGTTACTTTATGACTAACAATTGCTTAGATATTGTTTCAATGCTGCAATTGCATGCAGTTTTAAATGGTAACTGATCAAGTGTAGATCAATACAGAATCCTTATCAAATAATCTTGAAGATTATACACAAAGAAAAATTCTCACTATAAAGTTTAGGTAAACGCTAAAGTGTGAAGATTAATAATTTTTGAACAGTACCTATAATCTAAGTTATTATATAATATAAGTTATTGAAAACTTCTATTCTATCAATAATGATAAATATGTCATTAAAATTTCGAAAATGCATTAAGTGCAAAATGTGGACAAAATGGCAACTGTTTCATGCTACGGATTTTCAATCGCTTATGCATCCCTGTTTCACCTTTTGCCGCATACTTGGAATATTTCCGTATTACATCAAGGCTTCGACTTTTGAAACTACAAAACAGCGCTATATTCTGACAACCATCATTATTTGCATTCTCTGTATTTACAAACTAATAGTATTGTATAAGATTGACATTACTGGAACGATCATATTTGATAGTACACCTTTGGTTTTTGAACGTAATTGTTTTTTTATACTCAGCGGGTTTATCATGATTGTTACATATATTTTGAACGGTCCTCGGATGCACTTACTCCAAAATATAATGGAAATCTCTTTGAGACTGTCTCCTGATTCGTATCGAAAGCTATCGAGATTGATTCATGCTAAAGATATTTTTGGATTCTTTTTTCTAATCGGACAAACAGCATTTTATTATTCCATGATAAATTTTAGTAACATAGACAAGATTTTCGTACTGTACATAAACTTGATATTATTTCAAATGGATATGTTGTATATAAATTGCGTGTGTGTATTAAAAGCCTGTTTTAAGGAAATTAATGATAATCTGACGAATTTGCGAAAGCTCGTGGTGAACGACGAATCACATATTTTGAGGAGAAATTATCATGAACGGAAAAATCCATTCCTACTAATAAAACTCAGAGCTTTGAGAAAACAGCATTTGATGGTCAGTGACACAGTGCAAATGTTGAATACGATTTTCAGTCTACAGCTTCTCGCTACCATAGTTCTAGTTTTTGCTGAAGTTACTTTCCATCTATATTTTTATATATTTCATTGGAAAGTTAACATAATTAGCGCACAACACGAACTTTTGGATGGGTTATTGGTAACGACTTGGACGTATCAATGTATCAAAATGGTGTTAATAGGATGGGCTTGTGATACAGGCAAGGATGAGGCCATGAGGATCGGTACCACTGTTCATGAAATACTGAACGACACTATCGATGAACATCTCGGAGATGAAGTAAATGAAATAATAAAATTTAACTTGTACATTTCCTAAAGATATCTTGTGTGTCAATTTTTATACATTAAAACTGAGTAATTATTCAGAATAGGGAAGGCAGCTCGATGATCTTGACCTTGACAGATGTTGTCAAGATCATGACCTTGAGGAACCTCCAACGGGTTTTAGTCGTCGGTCGTCCTTTTTCGTTAAAAAGTTATTAACTTAATAACAAAAAAGTTCTATTATAACACAAAAATTCCCTGCTTTAAAATATGTTATCAAAGTAATAAAAGAATCATTCAGAGGATTATAACCTTAACAACATATGTGTAGGTCAAGATCATCGAGGCTGAGTTTCTTACAGCGAACAATTAGCGAATACTTTTATTTTTAAAGCAGAGAATTCTCGTGTTGTATAGTTGAACTTTTTCTACGCGAAACAAGAGTTACCTCACACCAAAAAATGGGTTAATCGGTGCTACCTCCCCTATTCTGAATAATTACCTAAATCTGTATAGTTAGTAATTATTTCTTAGTTTTGTATTTGATTATGTTCTAATTCTAATGTTTTATAGTTGCAGTTGTTTTCCTTGCAAGTACTGCATCGGAAAAATACATTTTCCGCGAAGGGTCTCACTGTGGACACAACACTTCTTGTCGCGGTGAGTGAATGATTATTTATTTTAAATATTATAATATGTATATATATTGATTATTTATATATACTATGTTATAATTTTAATTTTAGATAGTAAGTAATATCACCACTTATCTCTTAATTTTAATACAATTTTTAATTGCCGAACAAGTTTGCAAAACAAAAGTTATATATAAAAACAATATTATATAAACAATCTAATTAAAGAAAAGATAATTAAATTAAATAAAAAATGTTTGTTTAAATATTAAAATGTATCTTTGTATATATTTTGAAATTAGATGTTACATAACAAACGTGTGTGTGTAATATATGTATACAATAGAGACAAAACCTTGTACATCAACATTTAATTGCAAAAATAAAACTTTATTATATGTATTTTACTCGTTTATGTGTACCGTGTGTCAAATATAATAAACACATTTCTAAGAAATATCGTTTTAATATGACTTTAGAATAAAATTTGTTAGCAATAGACGTTTGATTAATCCCATTTAATGTTTATTATAATATATTTGTTATAATTTTATTCTTCTAAAGCATTATTTTAATAAAAAAAAAAAGAAACATATTTTTTAAATGGAGTTTATAATTAAAATTAATTTTTGAAAACAGCTTATTGAATATTTCATTGAATTTTGAGCTAATTTATTTATTAATGATGATTAAAAGTTATTTCATTGAAATGTAATGCAATTGATGAATTAACGTGATAATATTCATGTCTTTTGTCATCGCATTTTTTATTATTGCTGAAATAAAGGAGATTAACTATTTTGCATATAGTCTATAAATTACGATCTGTTAAAAATTTCATCAAAATGGATAAGTCTCGATTAATTTTAATTTAGATAAATAGTTAGATTATTGCTAATCAATAGCATTGTATTTGTTCTAGTTTTAATTTATTAATATTATACTTGTATTCCATTTATCACATGTTTTTCATAATGATATATCTCAAAGCAACCGCATAATTTAATGTCCTTTTTAGTATATAATATTAAAAATAGTAAAAAAAGAATTAATTTATAACATTTTAATAAATTAACAAAAACAATTTAAAATTAATTGCTTAAATCTCAAATATTAATAATATGTTTTGGTCAAGAAAAAAATGTTAACAAATATTTTTACATTAAAAGTGATAATAAATAGATAAAAATTATACATATATAAAAATTAAAAGTTTAAAACAGTTTTTTTGTGTAAGTATGTGTGTATGATATTATAAAGAATCTACAAAATTCTCTACACGAATAATATATACAATATGAAGAATAAAGTTTTAGTCATTATTAAAATTATTCATCTCTTCTTTATGAGCTACTGATGTATACTGTGAATTTTTGTTTATGCATATGTATATATACATAGTATATATATATATATATGTATAATAAACAAGATATATTGTTGACACTGATGTGTCACAATAATTATTATTATATTATGTAACAATATGTACGTTGCACTTCAAGAGTGATAAATGATTGAAGAGTGTCATGGTTACTTCACGACCGACAAATTTACTGAGTAAGTTCTCGCTTCTCGATGCATTATTTGTATTTTCAGTCTTAAATTTAAACTCATCAAGTGTAAATCAACAACAAAGAGATATGTCAACATGTATATTGTTAGAAAAATAAAATTGGACGTTATATAATATCTACTAAAGAAGGAAGCATTTGCAGACCATATTCGTATTATTGATAAAGTGTAGACATTAATAATTATAATAGAATAATTAACAGCTAAAGTGTATTGATAACAGGATTAATTTTTAAATTGTGAATCAACGGCTTAAAAAAATCAAAGTTCTCTATAATGAAGATAATGTTCAACTTTTTGTCGAAATTTCACAAACGGGTCAAGTATAAAATACGGAAACGATGGCAATTGTTTCACATCACAAACTTTCAATTCTTGATCAACGTTTCTACTTTTGAAATTTACAAACTGCCTAAGGTAGGTTTCCATTACATTGCCTTACTGATGAGTCCAGTAGTGGAAACCGGGACGAAACGCCAACTTGTAATATTTTTCGTAATATAAAGAATAAGATTATTAAGATCCAATTTATTTACGGAATTTTAAATTATCATCTTTATATTTAATTTGAATTAATCAAGTATTATTCGGTGATATTATAATACTACTGTAGTATTTATGCGTTATATGTCTAAATGTTTCAGCGCGCAATTATGGGGGGGCTACATATGTGGTATATAAAAATTCACACATACTTATTATTAGCACTTTGATCCAGCTTTGACCGTTATAGGCGTTTAATTCCTTCCTTGTTTGTAGACAATTTACGGTCGGTATAAAAATTATTTATTTACAAACTGCTTTTCATTTTATGGACCGTTATTATCTGCGTTTGTTGTATTTGCGAGTTAGTAATATTGTATGAGATTTACATTTCTGGAAAGATGAATATAATAAGCGTATTTAGAGGACTTTCGAGCATAGTAGTTATTAACATACATGCTTGCCAATTTCGTAGAGTCGTTACATACATATTGACTGATTCACAAATGCATTTGCTTCAAGCTGTATTGAACATCTCGTCGACAATATAAATGAATTATTTTTACTTCTTTTTGTTATGAGTAGACACATAATCGCTGGACATTTCATTCTTGTATTTCAATAAGTACGTATAAAACGTACTAAATCTATGAAAATTTTAGCGGATTACTATATATTAACATTTAATTAAAAATAGTTTGTTTGCTTACATGAGTTATTATATGTTAATTGATTTTTGAGCATTGCTTCGTATAATTTAATATATAATATATCATATATATAATATATGATATATATAACAACATATTAATACGTATATATTAAATTTTAATGTAACTTTTTATCAATTGTTGTTTCTCGTTAAAAATACAATATTATATTAAATATAAACATAAATACATCAATACAATTTTCAATTTTTATATTTTAGTGTATACACAGACACTACCGCGTGTCTTAAAAACGTAATTAAGATAAATCTTATTTTAAATAGTTTGATGTATCGTTCGATTTTATTTGATATTATATTACTATTAGTTTACTTTTATGTGATCTATTGAATTGTACTTAAAATAAGTACAAATTAATTTTCGCAAAAATTTCATCTTAGAAAAAATATTGTAAATTGTTTTATTTTCGCAGTTTAGCTAATTCTTTACAGCAAATTTACTTTTGTTTTATAATTATCTTTATTATGTTCATAAACATTTTATTTTTTATTAAAGCGATATAATTATACTTAAAGCACATTTAATAATTTACGTTAATTATTTGTAATTTATCCCTAGAGAAATAAGTGCCGATCGAAGAATACCATGGTTACTTCACGACTAACAAATTGCTTCTTTAACTTGATCTTTCTATTTGACTTCTATTTACTCGCAGTTTCAAATTTAAATTCGTCGAGTATAATACATATAGAGACCACATCTGTTTATTTATTGCAAAAAGACGAATTTAAAGTTTAAATTTAGAAATAAGACTTTTACATCTATGTTAATACATAATATGTTAAAGTGTATAGGAAATTAATATTATAAGCTGAAGATCATGACACAAATTATTTTTTCATGAATTTCGGCTAATCGTCAAAAATCCAACAATACACTAAAAGAAAAATGGGGAAAAAATTTAGACCTTTCCACGCCACGGATTTTCAATCCTTAATGTATCCTTGCTTTACCTTTTGCTATATTCTCGGAATATGTCCATACAAGATTAACGCTTCCATTTTTGAATCTTCAAAATCGCGCTACGTCGTGTCGATTGTGCTTGTCTGCGTTTGCTGTGTTTTTAATCTAACAGTTATCTACAATATTATGTTAATATCCAACTTTAATGAGGAGATCCGTAATCTTGAAGCTATCAGTTTCCATATTCTTAATAATTTTGTTATGATCATCACGCTTATTTTGAGCGGTCCGCGAATGCGCTTGTTGCAGACTATTATGGAAATCTCTTCGAAATTACCTTCGAAATCATATCAAAAGTTATCCAAATTAATCCATGTCAAAGATATCTTTGGTACCATATTCTTAGTCGTGCAGCTGTGTGTATATATTTTTCAAAAGCAACTGGTTAAACTAGACTGTATGTCAATTGTGTGGCTACTATTACTTTTATACCAAATACTTCTGGAATTCGAGATAAATATGTTGTATATAAATTGTGTATGTGTATTGAAGGCCTGTTTCAAGAGAATTGATGAGAATGTAGCATACTTGCAAAAAATTGTAATAAAGCCATGTGTACCCACGTTGGTCTGCCAAATGCAAAAAAATCAATTTTTAATAATAGAACTCAGAGGCTTGAAAAAGCAACATCTGGTTATTAGTGTTACAGTGCAAATGTTGAATGTTATCTTCAGCTTGCAACTTCTCGCTACTGTAGTCCTAACTTTTTCTGTCATCACTTTTGAAATTTATTCTTACGTAGTGAATTGGCAAGATGGGATATTAATTAACATTGATATGCAGTTAATGTTTGCACTTTTTACGTCAATAGGACATTACATTATAAAAATAATGTTGATCGTATGGGCTTGCGAGACTAATAAAAATCAAGCCCAAGAGATCACTATTACAATTCATGATTTACTTAACAGCACTAATGATGAACAGATAAAAAATGAGGTAAAAAAATGCGAAAGTAAGATCGTTTTATCTGTATATTATTATGAAAATATAATTTATATTAACATAATAAAATCTAAAGCATAATAATGTTTCTTAATTCTATTTTTTGTTCTTACATTTAATTATTTGGATATTTGACATTGCAGTTGCAGCTGTTTTCTTTACAAATATTGCATAGCAAAAATGTATTTTCGACCAAAGGTATAACTGTGGATGCTAAGCTTCTCGCAATAGTAAGTACCTAATTATTTGTTTTAATAAAATGTTTACTGTTTACATTTTTTTATTTTTAGATAGTAGGTAATATTACCACGTACCTAATAATTTTAATACAATTTTTAAACATATTTCATTCTTGTGATGGAAAGACAGCAATTAATGTTACACAATCTAAATAAAAAAAGTGCATAATTAGACGAAAAACTTATTTAAGTATTAAAAAATATAAGTTTTGTCACTATTAATGAATTATTATAAGGTAATATTTTGTATTTTTTAATAAATATTTTTATCTAATAAATATAATATATAATAAAATCTTGTATATATAATATATACAGTACGTACAACATTGATAAGCGTTTTACAAAAATAAAACTTTATTATTTTATTTTGTAACTTTTTTCAAGAATTCAATATTACATCCGTCGGATCAATAAATTAATATTTTTCTTTTGATTTTTAGTTCTTATATCACATATTTGGCTTGTTTATCAATTCACATACTTAAGGGTGAATTTTTTTTAAACGATATTATAAATATATTTATAAAGAAACATCACTTGGATTCTTAAATATCACTTGAATATGAAGTTCATTGATTCATTGATAATTCATTAAAATAATTAAAAAAAATTAATTTGTGATATAAATATAGATGAACTTATAAAAAATAATTTATATCGGTTCGGTATTATATACCTATATATATATATTATAAGTTTACACAAGTAGAAAAAAATATATTTTTCATATTTTCAATTATTTATAATATTATAGGTATTTAACATATATTTTGTTCGTATTATTGTAATATAAAAATTTATGTATTTATATACGGCCTACCAAGAAACAACAAAGTAATATGTAATAAAAATGTCAAACATTTTATGCAAAATGTAAATATTTATACAAAAGCAGTCATTAGAAAATAGGTTATAAATGAATTTCTGAAAGCTAACAGTCCATAGGGATTACTGCGCAGGATACTATCGTTTCATGTGTATATAAACGATTTCACAAATATTATCGTATGTCATAAAATTGCATATCCTTCTTCATACAAAAATGATAATTGTCAATTGAAAATGCCATATGGTTACAGTATGTCTAACAAAGTCTTTTATTTATATCTTGTATCATTACAGAAGACTACAATTATTCGCAGTTTTAAAATTAAATTCATTGAGTGTACATCGACTGTGAACAGTTCATATCGTTTTACTCACGTGGAAACACAAAAAGCAAAAAAAAGTGACATTTAGAAAAGAATCTCTCTCTATTGCATTCATATTAATACCAAAATATATTAATAACTATATAAATTAATAATTTATAAATTGCTATCTATAATTTGGTTCCTTGTTTTCTTGTGACATCATTGAGACATTGAACATGTTGAATTTCCACGAAGAGCTTAACAATAATCGAAAAAAGGAAGAATGGCGATTGTTTCACGCCAAGGATTTTGAATCCCTGATGTATCCTTGCTTCACTTTATGTCGTATTCTTGGAATATATCCATATAAGATCAATGCTTCTACCATCAAAATTTCAAAACTATACTACATTCTGTCGATTATCGTTATCTGCTTTTATAATATTTACATATTGATAATACTATACAGTATTTCTGTCTCAAATATCGAAATAAAAAATTTCCCCTTTTATCTTGTTATATGCTGCGCCTTTATGTTTGGCGACTTTATAATAATCATCTCCGTAATTCTAACTGGTTCGCGAACACGCTTGCTTCAAACTATATTAAAGGTCTCTTCAAAATTACCACCGGAATCATATCAGAAGCTATCTAGATTGATTCACGCTAAAGATATCTTCGGATTTCTTTTAGTTGGAATCATATTGATATGTACTTCCAACCTGCAAATAATTACATTATTTCAAAACTACGCCAGTCTAATCATATATCAAATGGATATGTTGTATATGAATTGCGTTTGTATATTAAAAGCATGTTTTAAAGAAATCAGTGACACTCTGGTAAACATGCAAGAGTTCATAACTACAAACAATGAGTCGCATTTTCCTAGATCGATTTATTACAAGCAAAGAAATTTATTACTGGTCATGGAACTGAAGATCCTGAAAAAACAACATCTAACAATCAGCGATACGGTACAAACGTTAAACATGACCTTTAGTTTGCAGCTTCTTGCTACAATAGTTATGACTTTCTCCTGTACCTCTTTGAGTTTATATGTCTACATACAATCGTGGGGATATTTATCGTCAACGACATTATTACATGTATATTTTCTATCATGTATCGCATACTTTTTTATAAAGATGATATTGATAGTGTGGGCCTGCGAGACGAGTAAAAATCAAGCTCAACAAATCAGCACTTCCATTTACGATGCATTTAACAGCACTACTGATGAGCAAATCAAAGATGAGGTAGTATATATATATATATATATATATAATAAAATATTAAAGTTTTATATCTCATATTATTGTATAATCTTTATATATTGTCTTAATATGTTTCATTTGTCAAAACAATTTTTGATATATCACATTATTTGCTAAATTTATTATACTCTTCAATTCTATATTTTACAATTTTACGGTTGCAGTTACAACTATTTTCATTACAAATACTTCATTGCAATAATACCTTTTCCGCAAAAGTTCTCACTATAGACGCGAAGTTTCTTGCAAGAGTGAGTCAATTGTCGTATTCTTCATTAATTCGATAACATATTGAAAATTAATAACTTTTAGCAGGTGTATATATATTATTAAAAAATTTTTCTTTTTAGATAGTCGGTAGCATCGTTACGTACGTGACAGTAATGCTTCAATTCGATTCAATTTCTTGCAAAAAAGAGATGATGAATAATATAGAAATAAAACTATAAGTAGAAATATTATTAAACAAACAAATGTGTTATTAGAAACTTGGTTATTATATAATAAATTACTTTTCATGTAAGTAAAATATAATCTTTTGTTGTTTTATAATTTTTTATATTTGTATTTAAATAAATGTAAATATATATATATATACAGATATAAAGAAATTTTGAAAATCTTATTCCACATATAATACATATATGTTAATATTGAATTGTGTTATAACGTTTTATTTGTTTAAATAAACATCATAAATGAATAATATTATATAATATACAATAAATTAATGTAATATAAATATTTATTTATAAATTGCATTCTGTACAATAAATATCATAGTAGTAATATAAAAAGGATGATTTTAATGTACTAAAACTTTAAAATATACTTGACACGGGAGACGGTAGACCGCGTCTCCTAATATATTATGTAAGTTTTCGATTATTATTCTATATATTTCCATAATGTAAATTAAACATCAAATAACGTTAATATATTCGTATAAACACAACTTTATTTATTCTTTAAGTATAAAAAGATAAATAAAAATTTAAAAGTCCGCCTCAGAAAATATGTTATATTTTATCTAATAATTCTTCAAATAAATTTATATCTATTTTATTATAACTATTTTCATAAATATAAGAGTACTGACTATGTTTTAAAAAGTTGTCTCTTAATATAAGTAATAATGTACTTTTTTATAACTTTGATGTCCCCCCCCCATCATTAATCAACCATTATTAATGGATTAAGTTATTGATTTAAGTTGATATGGCAAGTCTGTACTTTGTATTTCATACAAATACATCATGTACGTATAATTTAAGTGTGTTAGAACACTTATGCAGCTGTAATCTATCAAATATAATTGCTGATATTGAAGAAAATGCCATGGTTACTTCACGACTAACAAATGATCCTTTAGCAATATCTTTTTACATGACTCAGCGTTATGATCGCAGTTACAAACTTAAAATCTTCGAGATAATACGTATAGACTAAAACAGTTTACACACTTGTTACAAAGATACAAATTTGAAAGTTACAATTAAAAAACAAACTTTAGTAATCATATTTCCATTATTAAAGTGTACAGGGTGTAGTTCATGATATAGATTGTTATTCTCTATGAATGTTTGTTAATCATATTCGAAAATTCGACAATACGTCAAAAGCAAAATGTGGAAAAGGCAACGGTTATTTCACGCCATGGACTTTCAATCCTTAATGTATCCCTGTTTCACTATTTGCCGTATTTTTGGAATGTTTCCGTACAAGATCAACGCTTCGACTTATGAATCTTCAAAACCACACTACATCGTGTCAACCACGGTTACCTGTGTTTACTCTGTTCTTCAATTAACAAAAATTTACAATATTATGATCTTAATTTCAAAACAAAATTTTGAACAAATAATCAAAGGAATTTCAGGTATCATTTATTTAACGTTAAACAATGTTGTAATAATCATCACGTACATGTTAAGCAGTCCGCAAATGCACTTGCTACAGACTATGTCAGAAATCTCTCAAGAAGTATCCTTGGAGTCGTACCAGAAATTGTCTAGATTAATCCACGCCAAAGACATTTTCGGTATAATCTTCTTAATCACACAAGTATGCACAACATTTTATCAGGACAAACTATATAAACTGAACTATATCTCTATGTTGATGGAAGTGTTTTCAATATATCTCCACATGTTTGGATTTGAGATAATTATGTTGTACATAAATTGTGTTTGTGTATTAAAAGCTTGTTTCAAAAGGATTAATGACAATCTGATACATGTACAGAGACTAGTGGTAAATGACATAAAATCGAGTACTACTGGATTGATCTGTCATATACAAAGAAATCAAATTTTACTATTAAAACTTAAGGCCCTAAAGGAGTGGCATCTGAAAGTTAATGACACAGTGCAAATGCTGAACACGATCTTCGGTTTACAACTCCTTGTTATTATAGTTAGATCTTTTACTAATTTCACTTTTGACGTTTACTCTGATGTAGTGCGATGGCAAGATGGAGTATTCATTAGTTTTGATATACATTATCTTGATATGCTTTCATCATCAACAGCACATTACGCTTTAAAAATAACGCTGCTTGTGTGGGCCTGTCAGACTGGCAAGAATCAAGCTCAAGAGATCAGTACCACAGTTCACGATGTACTTAACAATATCAATGATGAGCAGATAAAAAACGAGGTAAAGATGAAATAAGAGGTTACCTATATATTACTTACTTTTCATCTATATATTATTTACTTTTTATACCAACCCGATTTTATTAAAATTATTCAAGTATAACAGGAATTAAAATTCTAATTTAATTTATTTTTTTTATAATTAATTATTCTACGACTTGACGTTATAGTTGCAGCTGTATTCATTACAAATATTACATCATAAAAATATATTTTCGGCGAAAGGTTTTACAATAGATGCGTCGCTTCTTACATCAGTAAGTAATTAATTACCTGTTTTAATTATTAAACCGAAAATTATTTATATTTTCCGTTTTGTGTTCAGATAATAGGCAAAATTACTACATATCTAATAATCATGATACAATTTTTAAACATGTCGCATTCTTGTGACAGAAGTGCAGTGGTCAACGTTACACAATCTACTTATAAGGATGCATAAAGTGACACAAAAATATTTTTAAATATATAACATATATTATATAGTGACATTATTAAAAAATAAGACGCAATGTCTTTTATTTTTATAGATTTTAGTCAATAATGTATGTTTAATGTGTAATTAATCCAAAAACTTTAATAGATGGATCTATAGTATGTTAGAATAGTCATTTTAATCAAAACATAGGAATTATAATAAACCACAATTAATGATTAATATAAAATAAAATTATGATTTATGTAAATATTGAAATGTCTATGTTTTCTATTTCGTAAGAGCATATACTACTGTAAAAATGAGCCAATCGACATTCAAAAAAACTTTGACACAAATATATTAGAATCTCCAATTCATACATTTCCAATATCACACGTTCGGTTGTGGGTTAGCACATTATTATAATAAGCCTTTCAGTTTATTGTCATGCGGTTATAAAAATTTGATATGTCATTTGTACTAATCTGTCCCAAGAGTGATAAGCGCTGATCGAAGAATGCCATGGTTACTTCACAACTAACAAATGATTACTTAATTTTGTTTCTTTGCTACAAGCAGTATTTGGTCGCAGTCCCAAACTTATATTCATCGCGTACAGATAAGTCGCAAAAACTAAATCAGTTCATATACTTCTTATGAAAAAACCGATAATTACACTCAGAAAAAAAACTTTCACAATTGCATCCATTAACTAAAGCGCATATATGATTAGTAATATTGTAAATCCGATACAAATTGTAATAAACTCCTATAAACTTTTCTAATCGTGTTCGAAGAAGAAAATCGCGGAAATCAAAATGCGGAGAAGATGGTCGTTGTGTTATGCAACGGACTTCCAATCTTTAATGTATCCCTGTTTCATCTGTAATCGCATTTTCGGAATATTTCCGTACAAGCTGAACGGTTCAACTTTTGAGATTTCGAAACTGTGCTGTATCCTGTCAATCACCGCTATATGCGTTTGCTGTGTTATAAACTTTGTTCTTATTTACCATACTGTTAAATCAAATATAAATTTTGGAAACGTAATTTGGAATATTCAAACTATTATGTATAGTATTATCACCAGTTTTATAATGATCATCACGCATATCCTGAATATTCCCCGAATGCGCTTGCTACAGACAATATTGGAGGTCTCTTCAAAATTACCAACTGAATCGTACCAAAAATTGTCTAAATGGATTCACGTTAAAGATATATCGTGTAATATCATCAGAGTTGTTCACTTCATAATGTATTTGTTTAAAGTATTGAAGTTTGAAGATACTTTTTACACTATTTTGATTAGGGTATTTACAATATATTTGGCCCTATTAATATTACAAATAATTCTGTTGTATGTAAACTGTGTTTGTGTATTAAAAGCATGTTTTAAGAGAATCAATGTCAGTCTGGTGAACATGCGAAAATTTGTATTAAACGATACGAAGCCACGTGTCTCCAATGTGTTATGGCACAGAAATCAATTTTCACTCATAGAACTCAGAGTTCTGAAAAAGCAACATTTAATGATTAGCGACGCAGTACAAATGCTGAATATGATCTTCAATCTGCAACTCCTTGCTATTATAGTCATGTTGTTTTTAAGTTTTATCTTTGAATTGTACATTTATACAATACGTTGGCAAAATGGAGTATTTTTTGGAATGGAATGGCGCTCTCTTGATGTGCTTTTATTATCCATGATATATAAAATTTTTATGATAACGTTGGTTGTGTGGGCCTGCGAGACGTGTAAGAATCAAGCCGGAGAAATCGGAACTGCCATTCACGATTTTCTTAACAGCACCAATAATGAGAAAATCAAATGTGAGGTAACTTTATAATTGTTTCTATATACCTATTTATATAACTACCATAACTTGCTAACATTGCAGTTGCAACAATTTTCTTTACAAATATTACACCGTAAAAATACGTTTTCGGTGAAAGGTTTCAATATAGATGCGACGCTTCTTGCAACAGTAAGTAAACGATCACTTGTTGTAAATATTAAAATATTAATAATACTATATGAATTTGTTTTACTTTTAGATAGTGAGGAATGTTACCACGTACTTCCTGATAATAATACAATTTTTAAATTTATCGCATTCTTGCAACATGAAAACAGCAATCAATACACAATTTAATTACAAAAATACATAAAGTGCAGAGATAAAAATGTTTTTAAATATAGAAAATACTCTGTTGTGTTATTGTTAATAAAATATTATCTACACTACGTAATAGTCATTTTAGTAAAAATTAGGATCCTGCTATAATTTGACCATTATTAAGAAGTATAAAGTTTAAAGTTATAATTTATGTGGATATTGCAATAATTATGTTTTCTATAAGCACATATAATGAAAAGCTTACTGTAACAATGAGGTAACCAACATTTAAAACAAAACCTTTGAGACAAATAGGGCCTCCTATTCATATATTTCCAACATTACACGTTTAGTAGTGAGTTAGCTAATTGCAATTAGTCTTTCATTGAGCCATATGTGTTATAAGAATTACGTACCATTAGCATTAATCTATCCCAAGAGTGATAAGTGTCGATCGAAAAAGGCCATGGTTACTTCATGACTAACAAATAGTTTCCTAGTTTTGTTCGTTTGCTACACGTAGTATTTGCTCACAGTTCCAAACTTCAATTCGTTGTATATAAATAAGATGTAAAAATCACATCAATTCATATACTTCTTATTAAAGAATTTACTTAAAAATTACACTTAAAAGAAGAACTTTTGCAATCGCATCTATTAATGCTAAAGTGCATATGATTAATAATGCTATGAATCAAATACAAATTGTTATGTTCTCCTATAAATTTATCTAATAGTTTAATTCGAAAAGCTAACAAAAATTGCAAAAATAAAAATGCAGAAAAGATGGTGGCTGTGTTACGCGACGGACTTTCAAACTTTAATGTTTCCCTGTTTCGCTTGCAGTCGCATTCTCGGAATATTTCCGTACAAGCTCAACGTTTCGACTTTCGGGATTTCAAAACTATATTATATCCTGTCAACCATTGCAATATGCATTTGCTGTGTTATAAACTTCGCACTTATTTACCATATAGCTAAATCACATATAAATTTTGGAAATACAATTTGGAATTTTCATGCTATTACATACTATATTCTTACGAGTTTTGTAGTGATTATAACGCATTTTCTGAGTGCTCCACGAATGCGCTTGCTACAGACAATATTGGAGGTCTCTTCAAAATTACCAACTGAATCGTACCAAAAATTGTCTAAATGGATTCACGTTAAAGATATATCGTGTAATATCATCAGAGTTGTGCAATTTACAATGCATTTGTCTAAAGTACTGAATATTGAAGATACTTTTTATGTTATTTTGGTTGGGGTACTTACACTGTATTTCGCCCTGTTGGTATTACAAATAATTATGCTGTATTTAAACTGTGTTTGTGTATTAACAGCATGCTTTAAGAAAATCAATGACAGTCTGGTGCAAATGCAAACGTTTGTAATAAATGATACAAAATTACGTGTCTCCAACGTGATATGGCACACGCAAAGGAAACAATATTTTCTGCTAGAAATCAGAATTTTGAAAAAGCAACATCTAATGATTAGCGACGCAGTGCGATTGCTGAATATGGTATTCAGTCTGCAACTGCTTGCTACTATAATCATGTCCTTTTTAATAATCACTTTTGAATTGTACTTCTATGCAATACGTTGGCAAAATGGTGTATTTATTGGAATGGATTGGCGCCTTCTTGATGTATTTCTAACATCCATGATATATAACGTTTTTAAAATAATACTAATTGTGTGGGCCTGCGAGACTGGTAAGAATCAAGTGCGAGCAATTGGTACTGCCATTCACGATTTACTTAACAGTACCAATGATGAGGAAATAAAATGTGAGGTAACGATATAAATTTATCTGTATATATTTTTGTAACTATGTTATATGTTAACGCAATCTTTTAAATCTAACGAAACATAGTCATATTTTTTAATTTCATGTTTTCTTTCTTGTACTTAATTATTTTGCTTTATAACATTGCAGTTACAATTGTTTTCTTTACAAGTATTACACTGTAAAAATACATTTTCGGTAAAATTTATCAGTATAGATGCGTCGCTTCTTGTAGTAGTAAGTAAACAATTATTTGTTATAAATATTACAATATCTGTTACATATTGTTTTTATTTTACTTTTAGATGGTGGGCAATATTAGCACGTACTTACTAATCTTGATACAATTTTTGAACGTTTCATATTTTTGCGACAAAGAGACAGCAGTCAATGTTACGTAATCTAAATACACGAATGTAAAGTGAAATAAAAATATTTCTAAACATATAAGATATCCTCTATTTTGTTGTTGCTAATAGAATATAATACACAATGTCTATTATTTTTTGCAGAGATTTTTCTTCCATAACGTTTTATGTTTGTATACGTAACTGATTCAAAATCATCAATAGATAGATCTACACTACATAATAGTCATTTTAGTAAAAATTTAGGATACTGTATGTTATACGTAGAACCCTACTCATTGATGGTATCATAAAGTTACTATTTATATGTATGTTAGAACGTTTAAGCTTCCTATTTCATATGAACCCTTATAATGATTGAAGGGCTTACTGCAACAATGAGCTAAACCACATTTCAAAAAAATTCCTTTGAATCAAATAATAAGGCTTCCAATTCATACAATTCACATCCAACAAGTTCGGTAGAGGAATAGCCAATTATTGCAAAAAGCTTTCAGCTTATTAAGTTATATGTTTTAGTGGAGGGATGGAGAATTACGTATCTATTGTATTAATCTATTCCAAGAGTGATAAGTACTGTCGAAGGACGCCATGGTTACTTTATAGCTAACAAATAATATCAATAGTTTGTTTCTTTGTTGCAAGTAGTATATATTCACAGTACCAAACATAAATTTGTCGACTACAGATAAGACGTAAAAACTATATCAGTCCATATACTTCTTATGAAGAAAGCGACGATTGAAAACTACACTTAGAAAAAAATTTTCGCAATTGTATTCATTAATATCAAAGGTCATATGATTAATAAAGCTGTAAATCTAATACAAATTGCTATGCCTTTCTGCATTTTTCTGATTGTGTCAAAAATCCAAGGATAATCGTCAAAATTAAAATGCGGAAAAGATGGTGGTTGTGTTACGCGACGGATTTTCAAACTTTAATGTTTCCCTGTTTTATCTGTAGTCGCATTCTCGGAATATTTCCGTATAAGCTTAACGCTTCGACTTTCGAGATTTCGAAGCTGTACTGTATCTTGTCAACTGTCATTATCTGCGTTTGCTGTGTTATAAACTTTGTTCTCGTTTACAATGTTGTTAAATCAAATATAAATTTTGGAAGTGTAATTTGGAATATCCACGCTGTTATATTCTATACTCTCACCAGTTTTATAGTGATCATCACGCACTTCCAGAGTGTTCCGCGAAAGCGTTTGTTACAGACAATATTGAAGACCTCTTCGGAATTATTACCCTCGAAATCGTACCAAAAACTATCTAGATTGTTCCACGTTAAGGATATATTATGTAATATCTTTAGGATTATGCAATTCAGCATGCACTTGTCTAAGTTACTGAAATTTGATGACACTTTTATAACTATTTTCACTTGGATGATTACGATGTACTTCTCCTTGTTGGTATTACAAATAGTTATGTTTTATGTAAATTGTGTTTGTGTATTAAAAGCATGTTTTAAGAGACTCAATGACAATCTGGTGCACATGCAAAAGTTTGTAATAAACAATACCAATCTACGTGTTTCTAATACGATAAAGCACATCCAAAAAAAACAGTGTTTGTTGACAAAACTTAGAATTTTAAAGAAGCAACATCTAAAGATTAGCGACACAGTGCAATTGCTGAATACGATCTTCAGTATGCAACTCCTTACTACTATAGTCTTGGCCTCTTTAGTTGTCATTATTGAATTGTATTTCTATGCAGTGCGTTGGCAAAATGGTGTATTTTTTAGAGTGGATTTGCGCTTTCTTGATATGTTTTTAACATCCATGATCTATAACATTTTTATAATAATACTAATTGTGTGGGCCTGCGAGACGGGTAAGAATCAAGCGCAAAAAATCCGTACTACCATTCACGATTTACTTAATAATACCAATGATGAGAAAATCAAATATGAGGTAGCGATATAAATTTATCTATATATGTATATTTTTGTAACTGTGTTGTATGCTAATGTAATCTTTAAAACATCAAATTTACCGAAAAATAATAGTATCTTTAATTTCATGTTTTCTTTCTTATATTTAATTATTTTGTTTTATAACGTTGCAGTTGCAACTGTTTTCTTTACAAATATTACACCGTAAAAATATATTTTCGTTGAAAGGTTTGACTATAGATGCGACACTTCTTGCAGCAGTAAGTAAACAATCATTTGTTATAAATATTACAATATTTATTATACAAAGATTTTGTTTTGCTTTTAGATAGTGGGGAATATTACCACATACTTACTAATCTTGATACAATTTTTAATCATATCGCATTCTTGTGACAAAGATATAGCAGTCCATGTTACACTCTCTAATTACACGAATATGTAAAATAAGATAAAAATATTTTTTAATTTATAAAATATTCTGTTTTATTATTGTTAATAAAGTATAATATACGTATGTACAATGTCTTTAAATTTTTATATGTTATGTTTGTGCACATGTCATCAATCAATACCGAATCGTCAATAGATGAATCGACAGTACATAATAATTATTTCAGTAAAAATTCTGATTAATTTTTCTGTTATAAATTGTCCACAATTAATAGATGATTTTAAAGTTACGATTTATGTGGATATTGCAATAGCTATGTTTCCTATGGGCACATATAATGATTAAATGGTTTACTGTAACATTGAACTAAACCACATTTTAAAAAACCTTTGAGACAAGTAGTAGGCCCTCCCATACATTTCCAGTAGGACACCTTCGGTTGTGAGTTAGCCCATTATTGTAAGAAGCCTTTCAATTTATTGAGTCATATATATATGTATATTTATATCATTTATATTAATTTATCCCAAGAGTGATAAGTGTCGATCGAAGAACGCCATGGTTACTTCACGACTAACAAATAACTTCTGCAGTTCTATTTCTTTGCTACACGCAGTATTTATTAGCAGTTTGGAACTTAAATTCATCGATTATAGATAAAACTCAAAAAGCATATTAGTTCATATACTTCTTATGAAGAAACCGACTTAAAAATTATACTTAGGAAAAAAACTTTCGTAATCGCTTATATTTTAATGGTAAATTGCAAATAATTCCTAATACTTCAAATCTGATACAAACTGTTATGTTTTCTTATAAATTTTTCTAATTATGTGCATTTTGAAGAGTTAAGGATAATCGTGATAATCAAAATGCGGAAAAGATGGTGGTTGTGTTCCGCAACGGACTTTCAATCTTTAATGTATCCCTGTTTTATCTGTAGTCGCATTCTCGGAATATTTCCGTATAAGCTCAACGCTTCGACTTTCGAGATTTCGAAGCTGTACTGTATCCTGTCAACTGTCATTATCTGCGTTTGCTGTGTTATAAACTTTGTTATCATTGACAGTCTTATTGAATCAAAATTAAGTTATGGAGATGTAGTTTGGGACGTTTACGCTGTTTTATACCATACTCTGACCAGTTTTATAGTGATCGTCACGTATTCTCTGAGCGTTCCGCGAATGCGCGTGTTACAGACAATTTTAGAGGTCTCTTCGAAATTATCCTTGAAATCATACCAAAAACTCTCCAGATTGATCCATGTTAAGGATATATTCGTTAATATCCTCAGAATTGTACAATTAGCTTTAAATTGGTGTACATTACGTGAGTTTAAGGGAAATTTTTTAGCTATTGTGATTGGAGTACCTACAATATACTTAGCCCTGTTAATACTACAGATAAATTTGTTATATGTAAACTGTGTTTGTGTGTTAAAAGCTTGTTTTAAGAGAATCAATGACAGTCTGATTCATATGCAAAGTCTTATAATAAACGATACGAATCCACGTGCCTCTAACGTGTTATGGCACAAAAATCAATGTTTGAAGATAGAACTCAAAGTCTTGAAGAAGCAACATCTTATGATTAGCGACGCAGTGCAAATGCTAAATATGACCTTCAGTATGCAAGTCCTTACTACCATAGTCATGTCCATTTTAACTATTACCTTCGATTTGTACTTCTATGCAATACGTTGGCAAAATGGGGTGTTTTTTGAGGTGGATTGGCGCTCTCTTGATGTGCTTCTAACATCTCTGATGTATGACATTTCAAAAATAACACTGTTTGTGTGGGCCTGCGAGACTGGTAAGAATCAAGCGCAAGCAATTAGTACTACCATTCACGATTTACTTAACAGTACTAGTGATGAGAAAATTAAATGTGAGGTAACGTTATAAATTTATCTATATATATTGTTGTAACTATGTTGTATGCTAACACGATCTTTTGAATCTATCAAAACATAGTCGTATTTTTTAATTTCATATCTTTTTTCTTATACTTAATTATTTTACTTCATAACATTGCAGTTGCAACTGTTTTCTTTACAAGTATTACACCGTAAAAATACGTTTTCGATGAAAGGTTTCAGTATAGATGCGACGCTTCTTGCGACAGTAAGTATACGATTATTTGTTGTAAATATTAAAATATTTGTTTTGTGAATTTGTTTTACTTTTAGGTAGTGGGAAATATTACCACGTACTTACTGATTCTGATACAATTTTTAAACATGTCATATTTTTGCGATAGAAACACAGCTGTTAATGTTACACAATCTAATCTAATAGATATATAGTAAGATTAAAATGTTTTCAAATATTAATATACGGTGTTTTATCTTTATTAATAAGTTATAATTGTACAATGTTTTATATTTTTACTATGTAGGTTTTTATTTCTCATTCTTATTCATACACAATATTTATGTTTTATAGACACTTGATTTTATTATTTTTATGTTCAAATTTAAATTGAAACATGATAAATATATTTGCAAGAAGTGTTTCTTAAGTATTTATAAGTATTTATAAGTATTACTTATAACAATTTTATTTTATAATTAATGTATATATAAATAAAATATCTATTATATACGTTTTGGTTTTACTTTTGTACGGTGTGTAATATGTACGGTGTCTTTGATAATCTTGATTCAGTTTTTAAACACTCCGCGTTCTTGCGACAGAAAGACAGCAATTTTCATATTACATATTTTAACTAAAATGTAGTTTTATAAAAATGCGTTTGTAAAATAATATGTATAATTTCAGAATTTTATATTAATGCGTTTATATAGAACTAAATTTATAAAAAAAAGAGTATTAAATATCAAAGTTATAATACAAAAATATTGTACACCATTCATAGAAAGAAAATATTAAGTTTTTTAAATTTAATAGTCATTATTAATAAATTTTTTAGAATTACTTGAAATAGAAATCATGCAAATATTGCATAGGTATACTTCCTATTTTATACACGCTTATAATTTATTGGGTCGTATGCTTCATTTCTTTATGTAATAATTTTATCCCATGAGAGATAAACATCGATCGAAGAATACTATGGTTACTTTATGACTAACAAATAGTTTCTTCAACATTTTACTTGAGGCAGCAGTTGCTCGTAGTTTTAAACTTAAACTCATCGAGGATAGATCGGAAAAAAGTACATGTCAGTTTATCCACTCATTATAAAAACATACAATGATTACACTTAAAAAAAAGTAATTACATTTCTGTTAATACTGTACACAATAACAACGCTTTAATTAATAATAAACTATTGATTAGATTGATGATATAGACGGTTATTCTCTCACAAACTTTTGTTACTCATGTTCAGTTCGAAAATGCAACGACACACTAATATGCGGAAAAAATGGCATCTGCTTTATGCTACGGATTTCCAATCTTTAATGTATCCCTGTTTTAGTTTTTGTCGTATTCTCGGAATATTTCCGTATAAGATCAACATTTTGACCTTCGAGATATCAAAACCGTATTACATTCTATCAACTGCGATTATTTGTATCTGTTGCATTTTGAGTATGGCAGTCATTTACGACATTGCCGTTACTAAAATGAAGAACTTTGAAGATGTAATACAAAACTTAGAGGCTGTCGGTTACTTCACGATTAGCAGTTTCGTTATAAGCATCACGCATGTCTTGAGCGGCCCACGAATGCGCTTGCTACAAACCATTTTAGAAATCTCTTCGAAATTACCTTCGGAGTCATATCAGAAATTATCCAGATTGATTCACGTCAAAGACATCTTGGGTAACATTTTGATAATAGTGCAAGGATTAATATTTTTTTCTAAAATACAGATATTTGAGTCGACCTATTTACAAATACTGATCGGAATATTCACAATGTACTTGGAATTGATAAAGTTCCAAATGGACATGTTATATATAAACTGTGTTTGTGTACTAAAATCTTGTTTCAAAAGGATCAATGACAATCTGACGTACATGCAAAAACTTTTAATGAAAGATATAAAGCCACATGTCTCTAAACTGATCTGGCAGAGAAATCAATTTTTACTAATAGAACTAAAGACTCTTCAAAAACAGCATTTAACAGTCAGTAAAACATTACAAATGATGAACACAACATTCAGCCTGCAACTTCTTGCTACTATAGTTATGACTGTTATTGAAACCACTGTTGAACTGTACTCCTACATAGTGCGCTGGAAAGATGGAGTATTCATTACCTTAGATTGGCAGTTACTTGATGTACTTTTATTATCCATGATACGTTATATTATAAAAATAACACTACTTGTATGGGTTTGCGAAACCGGAAAAAATCAAGCTCAAGAAATCAAAACTGTTATTCACGATGTACTTAATAGCACCAGTAATAAACATATTAAAAATGAGGTAATAAAAATACAATTTTATCTAAATTTTTCTGAAAATACTTGTATATTAATATAATTTTTAAATATTAAATCTATCTAAGTAAAATGGTACTTTTTAATTTCGTTTTCTCTTCTTGCATTACTTTACGATTTGACGCAGTTGCAGTTGTTTTCTTTACAAATTTTACATCGCAAAAATACATTTTCGACGAAAGGTCTTACTGTGGATGCATCGCTTCTTACGGCAGTAAGTAACCAATTATTTGTTTTAATTAATAAAATATACATTGTTTATACTTTTTACATTTTTTATTATTTTTAGATTGTAGGCGCCATCACAACATATATGTTAATTATTATACAATTTTTGATCATGTCACATTCCTGTGATGAAAAATTTAAAACCTATATTACATAAATAGAACAAATAAAGGACTCTTTCTTTAAAAACATTATAAACGTGGAAATGGCATTGTAAGAGTCAAACGAAAAGAAAATTAACAACAAATTAATACATATATTCTAAAATGAACTTATAAAAATTTACATAAATGTAACGATTAAAAAAACAGATGTTAAATTATATTACTAGTTTCGACCACCAAATCTGGTCCTCTTCAGATGAAACACTTAACGTTGAGATGTACATAATTATGGACAAACATCAATACAAAAGAAAATCTTGTGCATAGTTAAATATATAACTAAAAATTTGCAAAACTATGCGTGAAAATATTAGTTGGTCCGTGTATCCATATATTTACAAAAATAGTCATAATGATAATTGTCACACAATAAAAAAACAGTAAAAAATTTTTTCTTTAAAAAAACTTATGTCAGAAATATTACAAAACTGTCGAAGTACATCTTGAGATAAAAAGTAATACATGGAACACGTCAAACATCCTCAACGGACCACTTCCAACAATAACGGACGGATACACGGACCAACTAATATTTTCACGCATAGTTTTGCAAATTTTTTGTTATATATTTAACTATGCACAAGATTTTCTTTTGTATTGATGTTTGTCCATAATTATGTACATCTCAACGTTAAGTGTTTCATCTGAAGAGGACCAGATTTGGTGGTCGAAACTAGTAATATAATTTAACATCTGTTTTTTTAATCGTTACATTTATGTAAATTTTTATAAGTTCATTTTAGAATATATGTATTAATTTGTTGTTAATTTTCTTTTCGTTTGACTCTTACAATGCCATTTCCACGTTTATAATATATTACATAAGTAATTCAGGTTATTTATAAAAGAAATACACAATAAAACATTTTTTATACTTACACATATATATATTGTATATATGTATATATAAAGATTATTTTATTATGTTATATTTATATAAAAAAAATTGTTCATATTATATATTGTACCATATATACGTTTATTCGATAAGAGCGTGACAGATAATTTTCGACACGCGCGCGCGCGCGCGCACACACACACATATAGATCGATAGAATTGATTCATATTGTTTTTTGCACTTGTTTATAAATGTCTTTTTCTATAGCTATTTTTTATGATATTGTTTTGCCGTTTCGGATATATTCAAAGAGAAACAATTTCAAATCTTTTAGCATATGCAACATTTGTCATAAAATATATCGGTTTTTTTAGAAAAACATTAAAATTAAATAATTCTCGATATAATGCGTTGTAAGAAAAGAACCCTTTTATTTACGCGTTCACACAAAAATTAATTTTGATATAACGATTTCCAAATAAAAGTTTACATTATCGCTTATTAAACCAACTATGTTATAAAATTAGTAGAAAATATATCTCAAAGATGCCTCAAAGAAATTGAAATAATTGATGATCTATTAATATAAAAGCGCTGTCGTTTCGATTTAGTATTTAGTTTATAGTATATGTACAGTCTGTCTAGTAAGAGCGTGGCAGGCCTATCTCAAAGAAAAATGTCTTATCAGCCTTAAATTTATATTGATTGTATTTAGTAGGATTATGGCCAAAATGCAATTATATTAATAAGGAGTCCAGTCACCAGCTGCGTCTATAATAGACCACTAAAGAAATCGCATATTCACGTGGCAACGATTTCCAGATTCGTCGAATTTTGTTTTTTAAGTGCTTTGAAGTTGATGTCGGGCTTCCTCTTGATGAGTGACCACACATTTTCAATGAGATTCGTATCGGGTGATTGTGAAGGCCAGTGGAGTGTCTCGATGTCATTTCCCTCTTTCCAGGACGTGCAGAGCCGGCTTCGGTGTTTGAGATCATTATCCTCCTGGAGTAACTTTATCTTTACTGATAAATCAGCGTTGGATAGACGGAATCAAAACTTTTTGGTAAATTTTTATCATTTTCTCAACATTCAGGTTGTCAATAAAGAGATGAAGTCGACCAAATCCTTGCTCTGAGAAGCAGCCCCAAATATACATCTTTACCGCGTGTTTAACAGTTCGTTGGACTAGTCTATTGGTGGCAGTAGACCAGGATTGTTTCACTGCACAATGTGCCCCAAAAGAAGATTCGTCTGTAAAAATCACATTACTCCAGTTGCGGTCTTTATTTTCATGAGCCCAAGCTAGTCGCGCGCTGATGTGTTTTTTCGATCATAATAGTTTTTGGATTGTACTATATCTTATATCACATAAGCATAGAGATAACGTCGTATGGTTTCACACGACATTTTTAAACCTTTTTATTGTAATTTTGCCTGTCCTTGACGCAGAGACAACGTGCTACTGCTTTGAAATAGGCGCACGACTGTTTTTTCATCTTTGTCGGTATAGGTCCGTGCCACGTTCCGGTAAATCGTCTATGGTTTTTGTGTCTCTAAATAACGTTGCACTCATTTATGGACCTTGATTTTCCTATATATTTGGCCACAGCGGATTAGGACATTTTTGGCCCTTTTGAATGAGAACACAAGAACACTGCTTCGAAATAAAACGCGTAGGCAGCACTCATTTTGAAAATTGTTTATTCTAACACAATTCAAGCAACGTACTTTGCTTATAATGCATGCAGCACGAAGGTGACACCTATCGGCGAAAACAAAAATTCAGAGTATATCTTTACTCGGCTATGGGTAAGCCTTGCTACCCTCTTATTAGACAGACTGTTACATACAATTTTTGAATATTTTATAATAAATATTATTCAATAAATGTTATTCTGTATAATATATAATTTATAGAAATATTTTAAAAATTCAATCATAAAAATATTTTAATATACATGTAGAATTAGATTATTTATAATTAACATGATATGTAGCTTATTACTACATTTTTTCTAATATATTAACAATTGTTTTATTCATTTTTTACTTTCCATATTAGTCTTAATTTGAGTTCCTCAAAACAAAAGTTTTTTCAAACAAAATATTATTAAAAAACTAATCTTAATTTATTACATTTTAATAGTATAAATTATCCAAATTGACTTATAGTTACTTTTGACTGTACAATAAACATAAAATAAGTAAAGATTATATTAAAAGATATAAAGAGAGCTGACAATATTAAACCACCAAATTGTGGTACTAAAATATATTTTAAAATTATTTGTAACCTATGTATTGTTTACAATGTGGAGAATAAAATTAATCGTTTGTATTGCAATTATTATTAACAGATCTGATAATTTAATTTAATCTACACAAATATTGTGTACTTTCTACTATGTGTATGCATGCATACAAAGATTAATGTATTCATACTGAAATAATTACATATGACTGTATGTAATTGTTTCATTACTATTATATACTACGTAATTATGCGCTATATCCTAAAAATGATAAATAGTGACTGAAAAATATCATTATTTTAAAATTAACGAATAATCCCTGAGACATGTCTTCTTACTTCGTATATCTTATAACCTTTATAATTTATCGCTGTGTGTTATTATAATATTTTTAAGAGTTATTGATTCATATGGATATTACGCACACACACATAAAATACACAGTTTATGTGTGTAATTTTATATTTTATATTACAATACACACACACACACACACACACACACCCACACACATAATTTACAAGTCATGTGACGTAACAATTTAGAATTCTTTTTCTAATCCATCTCACAAGATTAAAAAGTGTCGATCGAAGAAAGCCATGGTTACTTCATTACTAACAAACGGTTTTTTCAGCTTTGTCTCTCTAGTGTACGCAGCACGTTTGCTGAGTTTTTAATCGAAACTCATTGAGTTTAGATAACAGGTGCATCAGTTTACACACTTGTTACGAACAAACTGATTTGAGAAGATTACATTTAAAATTTTACAACTATATATATATTAATTCTGAAGTATATATTGATAAATGACATTTGACTGTAGATTATAATAGATTGTTATTTTCTCAAGAATTTGTGCTAATTGTGTTCAATTCGATAACTGAAAGATACACCAAGTACAAAATGTGGAAACGATATTGGCTGTTCCGTGCCACGGACTTTCAATCTTTAATGTATCCTTGTTTCACTTTTTGTCGTATTCTCGGAATATTTCCGTACAAGATTAATGCTTCGACTTTTGAAATTTCAAAACGATATCTCATCTTGTTCACCATGGTTATCTGCGCTTGCGGCATTTTTGACGTACTAATAATTTACGAATCTATTTCTGAATTCAATCTGTTAGGCATAACCAAAACTCTTGAAATTGTTAGTTATTATGCGTGCAATGGTTTCGTAATGATCATCACACACATCTTAAGTGGTCCGCGAATGCGCTTGTTACAGACTATTTTAAAGATCTCTTCGAAATTACCCCCAGAATCTTATCAAAAGTTATCCATATTGATTCATGTCAAGGACATCTTTGGTACCATATTTTTAGCTGTGCAAATGAACATTTATTATTTGAGAAATGATTTCTTTGAACTGAACTATAAAGCAATCCTGGTCGTGATATTCACTACATATTTAACTCTCCTGGAGTTTGAGATAAATATGTTATATATAAATTGTGTATGTGTATTAAAGGCATGTTTCAAGAGACTCAATGAAAACGTGGCATATCTGCAAAGACTCGTAATAAAACCGTGTGTAATTTGTCACGTACAGAGAAATCAATTTTTGTTGTTAACACAACTCAACATTCTGCAAAAACAACATTTAATGATTAGCAACGCAGTGCAAATGTTAAATCTAATTTTCAGTCTACAACTTCATGCTACTATAGTCATGACCTTTTTTGATATCATTTTTGAAATTTATTATTATGTAGTGCGTTGGCAAAATGGGCTATACTTTACTTTTGATATGCACTTTCTTGATGTGTTTTTAATATCGATAACGTTTTACATTCTAAAAGTAACACTAATTACATGGGCCTGTGAGACTGGCAAAAACCAAGCTCAAAAGATCGGTACCACCATCCATGATGTATTAAATAGCACCAACAACGAACTAATTAAGAACAAGGTAATACGAATTTATTTATATAGAAACATTTTTTCTAAAATATATAGTAGTTTAATATAGTAAAAGTAATCGTTAGAAATACTAAATTTATTAAAATATGATTATACTTTTCAAAAGTTTATGTTTTCCTTCTTGTATTTAATAACTTTAAAATTTAATGTCGCAGTTGCAGCAATTTTCTTTACAAATACTACATTGTAAAAATATATTTTTGACAAAAGGTCTCACTATAAATGCGACGCTTCTCACAGCAGTAAGTAATCAATTATTTACTTTAATTTAAAAAAATATATGTAGTTCACACTTTAAATTATTGATTGCAGATGGTGGGTGGCATCATGACGTATATGTTAATTTTAATACAATTTTTGATCGCATCACATTCTTGTGATGGAACCAGTATTACAAATAATTCTAGCGTCTTAATACTTTTTAGGTACAGAAATTTAACGCAGTTTTAAAGAAGAGGTTGCGATAAGTGCCATTTTTTACATCCCCCATAAATTCCAACAGAACTAAAATAAAAATATATATTCAAAAATATGAGCCTCAATTGCTAAATCTTCTATAAATCATTCATAATCAAAATGTAGTGATTTATAAACAACGAAATTTAAAATTATATTTTTCTGGGGAATTATGAAGCTGATATATGAATTCACAAAGGAGGGGGCTAAAAATGATCATTATTGCAACCCCTCTTTTAACTTATTAATGATAAGTATAAATTAATAACAAAAAATACATGTTATCTGTTAACATTTTTAATCTTGCTTGAATATAGCAAAAATCATTTTATTATACTTAACGACAGAAAGATAACGCAAATACTACATGGTTGATTAATATTGATGTTATTTGATTATTTTTTGTTTACCTCATTTGACTCAAAATTAAAAATGCGCGATGTTTCTTTAATCAAAAAATTAGAAAAGATATAATTGCAATTATTTATTATAAATTCTACGCATACATTTAATAAATTCGAATTAATAATTTTTTGCATTTACAAAGCAAGAGAAAGAGAGAAAGAAAAAAATACAAAACCAAAAAGTCATTAATATAAAGAATATCTAGAATTACTGTTCATACAAATGTTGCGTAGTCTATAATGCACACTATTTTGTATATGTACACATAATTTATAAATTACAATTTCACATAATGGCCGCAACACAGACTTTTACATAATGCATAATGCATAGTGCATAAGAAAATTAACCAATCAAAGTTTCTCTTTTCCATGAAATGGAAAAAAAGAAAGGATAATTGGTTAATTCGCTTATGCACTATACGTTATATTTTACAAAAGTCTGTGCCGTGACCTTAATACTTTCTGTGTAATCAAATTGCAAAAGTGAAAAATGACGATCGAAGAACGCCATGGTTACTTCCTTACTAACAAAGGCTTCTCCAGCATTATCTTTTTGTTACACGTAGCATTTGCAAGCAGTTTTAAGCTAAAACTCATCGAGTATATATAAGATGAAAACTTCATATCATAGTTAATATAGTCTTGTAAAAAGACAAACCTAAATATTCCACTTAGTCAAAAAGCTATTATATCCGTGTTACTTCTAATAATTCAGTGTATTGGTTCAATGTATTGACTAATATTTAAGATAAATTATGATACAAACTCTCTGTACTAAGAATTTTTACTAAATATATTGTGTTTAATTCGAAAATTCAAAGGAAAAATGAAGAAAATATGGCAACTGTTATACGCCACGGATTTTCAATCCTTAATGGATCCTTGCTTCTTTTTTTGTGGTATTCTTGGAATATTTCCATACAAAATCAACGGTTCGAATTTTGAGATTTCAAAACCACGCTATATCCTGTCAATCGTGATTGTCTGCATTTCTTTCGTTTTATACTTGCTGATTATTCACGGTATTATTATTTCTAAAACAGTTACCTTTGGAAACATAATTACAAATCTTGAGGCAGTCTTTTTCTTGACGTTCAGTGGTTTGATAGTGATGCTTACGCACATCTTAAGTAATCCACAAATGCGTTTACTACAAAAAATTTGGAAAATTTCTTCAAAACTTTTACCGTTAGAAACATATCAGAAGTTATCTAAATTCATCCATACCAAAGACGTCTTGAGTATCGTCTTCTTAGTCGTGCAAGAATATATGTTTTTTTCTAAAATGCATTTTTTTGAAGAAAATTATTGGGTTGTTAAATACATAATCACAGCATTTATAATATATTTGCTTCAGCTGGTGTTTTATGTGAATATGCTGTATGTAAATTGTGTTTGTATATTAAAAGCCTGTTTAAAAAAAATCAACGATGATCTGAATTATATGCAAAGACTCATGACAAATGACATGAAACCATCCGTTTCTAGTTTAATTTGCTCAACACGGAAAAATCAAATTTTTTTGATACAACTTAAAACTTTGATGAAACAGCATTTAATAATTAACGAAACTGTGCAATGGCTAAACATAATCTTCAGCGCGCAACTTCTTGCAACTGTAATCGTGACCTTTGCTCAAATTACTTGTGAACTGTATTATTTTAACGTGCGCTGGCAAGGCGAGGTAATCATTACTCTTGATCGAAATTTTCTTGATGCGTTTTTAACAACCATGGTGCATTACTGTATGAAAGTAATTCTAATTGTATGGGCCTGCGAGACTGGCAAAAATCAAGCCCAAGAGATTGGTACTACCATTTACGACGTACTTAATAGCACAAGAGATATGCAAATCAAAAGCGAGGTAATTTTTTTTTGGATAAATAATGTTTATTAACACAATTTTTTTTAAAATTTATTAAATCTACTAATATTACGTTTATTAATACTACCTTTTTCTTGCATTAAATTGTTTTGCGATTTGACGTTGTAGTTGCAACTATTCTGTTTGCAAATACTGCATTGCAAAAATACATTTTCGACAAAAGGTCTCGCTATGGATGCGACGCTTCTCGCAGCAGTAAGTAATCAATTTGTTGCTTTAATTAATAAAAAATTTAAATAATAAAAGATATTGTTTATATTTTAAATTATTGTTTTCAGATGGTGGGTGGCATCACAACATATACGTTAATTATGATACAATTCCTGATCACGGCACATTCTTGTGATGAAACATTTGGAATTAGTATTACAAATAATTCAGCTATATAAAATAATATATATGTAAAATCAAAAAAGAGAATTTTTTATATTTACATAGAATCACTCGTACATACATATATTGAAATAAAATCTTCTACTATATCTATGTTAATATTGAATTAAATCGCTGGTGAATTTTCTGAGATTTACTGAAATATATAAAGGGAAATTGTCTTATAGTAACATGTACTCTATGGATTATAACAAACACACACACATACATATGTAAATAATTTTATTATATAAAAGTATGTTGATTGTTTCTCTCATATCTCTCTCTCTCTCTCTCTCTCTCTCTCTCTCTCTCTCTCTCTCTCTCTCTCAATATAATGGTATATATTATTATTCTCAATAGTTCATTAACATTTTATTTGTTTTTTTATTCTTCTTATATTAACGTCAATGTTTTTAATGTGTAACACGATTTTCGAGTTAAAAGAGTAATTAAGGGGATTCTAAAGCAAAGCATGTGAACTTTAACAAAATCGCCAGAAGTCGCTGTTTTACAACACATCGACGTATCTTTTACATACTATCACATTAATATCTCACGCAGCAACGATGCATGCAGTCGCATTACCTGTCAATTTTCGTATCATAAATTCGTCGCGATAAAGTGTCCAAGTCTAATTCTAAGCACTCGACGTGTTTCTTCACGCAAACTAGTGTCTGTGGACTACTATTTCTTAAGTACAGATTGCGCAGCTTTTATATATAACAAATGTTGTTACGACGTGCAACGACATGACAGCTCTCGAGCTCCATTGGACTAAAAAATGGTAAAGCGAAGAACTCAATTTTGAAATTTTTCATCGTTTTCAGCATAGATTCTATCTCACAGACTCGTATTAATGCGTATACTGTAATCCTGTAAAAGGATTTTCGAATCTGTGAATGACAAAAAAGTATTTACGATACAAAAATTATATGGTTTATTCGGTAATACAGACAATTTTAGAATCGCCTTAATGGGTAATAAGTCAAGCAGGAAATCAATATATGTTAGTAACTCAAAAATATACTTTTCATGTGAAATCAGTTTTAAATGTTTTGGATATTTGTTGCAACAAGTTTAATATTCTTTCGTCGAAAATTTCCTATTTTTCCTTTTCCTTTTCGATACAAAACTCATTACCTGTCATGACGTGTGATTTGTCTGTGACTCTACGCAACACATACTGATACCTACCGAGCGACATAAACAAATTATTCAAAATAAATTTTTTTTAACTTATAATAAATTATATTTCCTGTCTCAAGGCATATTACTCCATTTTATCCAATAAAATGTATATGAGTCATAAATTATATAATTTCACGTAATTCTTTTATATAATTTCTTTCGATCAAAAAACGCCATGGTTACTTCACTACTAACAAAAGTCTTCTTTAACACTTCGTTTCTCTTTTAAACACAATATTTGCTGGCAGTTTAAATTAAAATTCATCGAGTGTATATAAAATGAAGTGTCCATATTACAGTTAATTCATGTATTACAAACAAAGAACTTAAATATTACATTTCGATAAAAAGCTATTATATCTGTATTAATTCTAATAATTCAGTGTATTTATTTAGCGTACTAATGAATAACACTTAGAATTATAGTATAAACTGTTCCTCTCTTAAAAATATTTGCTATTTATGTTCAGTTCAAACATTTAAACACCAAAGACAGAATGTGGAAAAGATTGCAACTGTTTCGTGCAACGGATTTTCAATCCTTGATGTATCCCAACTTTATCATAAGTAAAATTCTTGGGATATTTCCATACAAGATTAATGCTTCGACTTTTGAGATTTCAAAATCATGCTATATCATGTCAACTCTGATTATCTGCATTTACTGCATTTTTTATCTACTATTAATTCAGAGAATCTTTATTTCTCAAATATTTTCCTTTAGAGACGTAACTAGAAGTTTTGAAAATTTATGTTTCTTTACGTTCGGCGGTTTAATGGCGATTGCTACGTACATTTTGAGCAAACCACGAATGGACTTATTACAAACCATTTTGAAAATCTCTTCAAAACTACCTATGGAATCATATGAGAAATTATCTAGATGGATCCATGTCAAGGATATCTTCGGTGTCATTATGCTAATCGTGCAGGAATATATGTATTTCTCTAAAGTGCAAATATTTGAAAAGAATTATTGGAGTACCATGGTGAAGACAACAGTAATGTATTTGGTTCTGTTGGAGTTTCATTTGAATATGTTGTATGTGAATTGTGTTTGTGTATTAAAGACCTGTTTCAAAAAGATCAACGACGATCTAACTCACATGCAAAAATTCATAATAAGTGACGTAGAACTACCTGCAACCAATTTAATTTGTCACATACAGAGAAATCAATTTTTTTTGACAGAGCTCAAAATTTTGATGAAACAGTATTTGATATTAAGTAAAACGGTGCAAACGCTAAACATAATCTTTAGCCTGCAACTTCTTGCTATTATAATCTTGTCCTTCGCTGAAATTACTGTGGAATTGTATTTTTATCTAGTGCGCTGGCAAGGTGAGGTACTCATTACATTTGACAAACATCTTCTTGATGCATTCTTGACATCCATGCTACATTATATTATTAAAGTAGTGTTTATTGTCTGGGCTTGCGAGACTGGCAAGAATGAAGCCCAAAAGATCGGTACTACCATTTACGACGTACATAATAGCATAAGAGATAAGCAAATTAAAAAAGAGGTAAATTTTTTGAATAAACAGTGTTGATTAATACGATTTTTTAATTATTAAATTTATTGAAGTTGCGTTTACTAATAGTATTTTTTTCATTCTCACATTTAATCGTTTTGCGATCTGATGTTACAGTTACAACTTTTTTCTTTACAAATACTGCATTGTAAAAATACATTTTTGACAAAAGGTCTGACTATGGACGCGACGCTTCTCGCAACAGTAAGTAATCAATTTTTTGTTATAACTCTCTCTATAATAAAAGATATACTATTTATATTTTAAGTTGTTGGTTTTCAGATGGTGGGTAGCATTACGACATACATGTTAATTTTAATACAATTTTTGATCGTGACACATTCTTGCGATGGAAATCTGTAATGAACGTTATATAATTTCGTTATATAATAAAAAATATATTATTATAATAAAAAAAAAAAAATAGCTTTATACTTAAGTTTAGAATCGCTCATATATGTGTAAATGTATTAAAATAGAATTTTTTCCTATGTGTATGTTCGGCATGTTTGCATCAATATTAGCTGCAAATATTTAAAATAATCTATATGTATGACGTATATAAATTGTAATTAATTTATTTCAATAAAATAAATGTTTTAAATATTTCATGCAACATCTTTTTCTAAACAACTCTTGAAAATTGTAGAAATTAACGTAAACATTAGTTAAAATGATACACAATACAGAAGACACTTTAAAAAATAATGTTATTTATTAATATTTATTTAGTAATATGCTAAAATATATATTATTAATATGCTAAAGACTTGTATGATATATATCTATTGTATGTTATTTTATAATGATTGGTATAAGTTTGTTAGCACAAATATAAACGATTAATGTGATTATTATTCACAATAAACTGTATAAACTTTTTCTTGTTATTGAGACTTTTAATTGTTACAAATAATTTTCCATTTTAGAGAGCTATAATAAAACATATACGCATATACTGTTTTATAATAGTATAATAAGATATCTCTTATATATGAAATATAAACATGGACTTTAAAAATAGATAGTCTTATTAGCAAATAGATAATCGTTATAAAAGCATTGTTGGAAGCTATTTACATAATACTGTCGTTTGTTGTTTCATGTGTGCTCATATTATTCGTGAGTCGTGTGTTGCACCAATTACATAATTTACATATTATTCCTTTATAAATAAGTGATAATTGCCGATCGAACAATGCCATGGTTACATCATGCCAAACAAAAAAGTTATGCTTTTATAGTTTTATGTTATTACGAGATAGAAAGTGTACCCAGGTGGGATCTTTCCTCTTTCTGACGCAAACCTCACGTGATCCCATCACGTGATCTTTCGGAATTTCACCCACCAGTAGCATGTGGTGAAAAGAGTCCGCGAGATCACGTGATGAGATTACGTGAAATTCCATGCCATAAAGAGGGGAGATATATGTCCTACGAATTAACAATTATATTTGCAGTTTTGAAATTAAATTCGTCGAGTGCACATTGATGACGAGTTTCACATCGGTTTATGTACGCAAAAAAATGAAATTCGTGAAAAGATTATACTTGTAGAGAAGAAGCTCTGTTGCCATATATATATTTATACCAAAAAATACATTACTAACTTAATTTTAAATTAAAAAAAAAATTAAATTTATAAATTGTTCTTTATACTATATTATTTTTTTTTAACAAATCACTGATTATGTTTAATGTGTCATCGAATTTCCAAAGAAAATCCAGAGGCAAAGAAAAAAAAGCAGAATGGCGATTGTTCCATGCCAAGGACTTTCAATCCCTAATGTATCCTTGCTTTACTGTGTGTCGTATCTTTGGAATATTTCCGTATAAGATCAATGCAATGAGTTTTGAAATTTCAAAACCATACTTCATTCTGTTCATCGTCATTGTCTGTACTGGTAGCATTCCTTCATTTATAATGCTGTACAATTCTTGGAAAATTTCCATTTTTGGATTTGATATGATACTTTTACCTCAAATTCTTGCGCGTAACTGTTGCATAATGCTTGGAAATTTCATAATAATTGTTACGCTCATTCTAACACTTCCACGAATGCGCTTGCTTCAGATTATATTGAAGGTCTCTTCAAGATTGCCCTCAGAATCATACGAAAAGTTATCTAAACTAATCCATGCTAAGGATATTATTGGTTTCTGTTATTCAATTGGGATCATATTAATTTTTATATTCACATTGCAAATAAATCGCTTATTTGAAATATATATCAGTATAGTAGTATTTCAGATGGATATGCTGTACATGAATTGTGTTTGTGTATTAAAAACATGTTTTACAAAAATCAATGACAATCTGATCAGCATGAGAACATTCATTGCAAACAATGAGCTACGTGTCTCTAAATTAAATTATCATAACCATCAGAGAAATCCGTTTCTGATCATGGAACTCAAGGATTTAAAGAAGCAACATTTGACGATCTATGATACAATACAGATATTGAACATAATCTTCAGTCTACAGCTTCTTGCTACAGTAGTCATGACCTTCTCTCTCGTCACTATCTGTATATACTATTACATATTAGCATCGAAATATATGCATACATCAACTAAAACAAATTTTTTGGAAGGTTTATTACTTCATATGCTTTTTATACTATTTATGGCATACTTTTTTATAAAAGTATTATTGATAGTATGGGCCTGCGAGACGGGTAAAAACCAAGCTCAACAAATTAGCACTTCCATTCATGATGTATTTAATACTACCACCGATAAAAAAATCAAAGATGAGGTAGTATATTAAAATGTTGAACTTTTACATTTCTTGTAAATTGTATCAGTGCATTTCGTGCATCTAATTTTGTTAAACTACATTATATTCATAATTATATTTTTCGATCTTACATTTAACGATTTTGTGATTGCAGTTACAACTATTTTCTTTACAAGTACTTCATTGTAATAATACATTTTCTGCAAAAGGTTTTACTATGGACGCAAAGCTTCTCGCTGCGGTGAGTAATATAGATCGTACGTTTTTGTTAATTAACAATTCTAATTTGTAATTGAAATTAACAAGATGTTCATTGCTTCTTTTCTTAATTTTGTTTTTAGATAGTGAGTAGTATCACCACGTACGTAATGATATTATTTCAATTCATGTATATGTCATATTCTTGCCAGGATAAGACAGCAAACAATACAGGAAAAATCTAATTAAAAGAAGATATATAACAAAATAAACAAATATTAAATATAGTTTTTAAATATTAAAAAGAATTGATTTTTATGTATTGAATTTTATTGTTTTATGTGAGTAGTAATCGCTTAACTTTATACACATATACATGTGCATATATATTATCAGTACAAATATGTTAATAAAAATTTGGTATTAAATGAATAAAATATAAATATTGAATTGAAAATAAAATTTTAATAATAAGAATCTTTAATATAATAATAAAAATTTAATAATAATAAAAATATTCCATTTATTTGAATATAACTATACAATAAAGCATTTTTCATTAAAAAAATGGAAAGAAAAGAGAGTATTTTAGAATTGGGGGAACAATTATCATTAATGGATTTCTACTACACTTTCTGTTGATTTTAATAAATCATACGAGTCAATCATAATTTATCTTTCATAATAATATATTAGTTGTATATTAAGACAATTTCATATAATCTTATCATTTGATGCAAATATCTATGTATGTACAATGTCCTACTTTATGTGTACACAAATAATATATTAGTTGTATATTAAGACAATTTCATATAATCTTATAGCAATTTATTCTAAGAGTGAAAAGTGTCGATCGAAAAATACCATGGTTACTTTGTGACTAACAAATATTTTTTTTAGTACTCTGCTTTACGTAATACCGCGTTGACAGTTTTAAACTGAAACTCATCGCAAGTGTATATAAGACAAAAGTCCACGTCACATTTTACACACTTGATACAAAGAGACCAACTTATACATTACGCATAGAAAAACATTTGCATTATCTATATTAGTACTACAGTATATCAATTGATAACATTTAAGTTGTATATTATGAAATAGACTATTAATATCCTAAAAATTTCTTGTGTTTGATTTAAAAAATCCAAGGATACATCAAAGGCAAAATGTGGAAAAGATGGCTGTTACATGCCACGGACTTTCAATCCTTAATGTATCCTTGTTTCATCATTGGGCGCATTCTTGGAGTGTTTCCTTACAAAATCAATGCTTCGACTTTTGAGGTTTCAAAATTGCACTACATCCTATCAACTGTAATTGTCTGCGTTTGCAGCATTTATAACATAATGCTCATTCACAGTTTTATTTATAAAGTTAATTTGGGAGATACAACCAAAACTCTTCAGGTTATCATTTACTTTATGTGTAGTGGTTTTATCACGATAATTATACATATCTTGAGCGGTCCGCGAATGCGTTTGCTACAAACAATTTTAAAGATCTCTTCAAAATTACCCTCGAATTCATTTCAAAAACTGTCCAGATTTATTTATGTTAAAGATATCTTGGGTACCATATACGTGATTGTGCAAATGTATATGTATTTTCCTAAAACAGAGACGTTTCATGTTGTGAGTGGTTTGGCCAGGGCATTAACAGCTTATTACATCCTTGTGGTACATCAAACAAATATGTTGTATATAAATTGTGTTTATGTATTAAAGACTTGTTTCAAAAATATTAATGATAATCTAACGCATGTACAAAGGCTAATGGTAAACGATACAAGACCATCATGTGTCCCCATGTTGATCGGTCAGATAAAGAGAACTTTGCTAATAGAACTTAAGGCCCTGGAGAAGCGACATTTAATGCTTAGCAATATAGTGCAAATGATGAACATAGTCTTCAGTCCGCAAGTTCTTGCTACTATAGTTATAATCATTTCTAATACGACTTTTGAATTGTACAACTATATGGTGCGCTGGCAAAATGGGATACTCATTATTAGATTTAATAATTCATATTTTGACAAATTTGTAATGACTATGACACATTACGTTACACTAATGATGCTACTTGTGTGGATCTGCGAGACCGGAAAGAATCAGGCTCAACAGATTCGTACCACCATTCACGATCTACTTAACAACACTAGCGATAAACAAATAAAAAACGAGGTAATAAAAAATTTATTTGCATATATTTAATTTATTTATATATTTCACTAAAATGTATTTACGCCAATTTTTTAAACATTAAATTTACCAAGTTATAATTACGTTTTTTAATTTTACATCTTTATTCTTGCATTTAATTATTCTGAGATCTCTAACTTTGCAGTTGAAGCTATTTTCTTTACAATTATTGCATTGTGATAATACTTTTTCGGCGAAAGGCCTCAATATAGATGCGACTCTTTTCGCAGCAGTAAGTAATAAAATTATTTAGTTTAATTAATAATATGTATGTGTTGTTTACATTTTTTATTACTGCTTTCAGTTTGTGGGTTGCATTACAACATATATGTTGATATTAATACAATTCTTGATTACGTTACATTCTTGCGATGGAAAATCATTATTATTTACATAAGTAATCCGACTATGAAAGAGATAGTTATAGAGAAGAAAATATAATTTATTTATATTTATATAGTTGTTTATATATACGTATATTATATATACGAGTACACACACACACACACACACACACACACACACATTGTAAGATATTTCAAAATTAATTGACAAAATCTTGTTATCATCTTATTAATGTAAATTAGAAAAAAAATTTATATAAATGGAGAGCTCTGAAAATGTTTATTATTATTATATTATAATAATATACTATATCATATTTAGAAGAAAAGGAGTTTAGTTAATCTTTTGTGAATATAGTTTTGCTATATAATGCTTGTGTGATATCTAAGATTAAAAATTTAATACTTTACGAATTTTGTGTCAATCTGTAGTTAAGAATACATAAAAGTTGCATCAGCTTTTCAGCTTCACAAATGGATATTCAATAAAATGATTAAATAGAACAAGAATGTTCAATATACCAAATTAATAATTAATAATCGTTATAATGTGACAATTATTTTAGCTATTTTACGTGCATTGCTTCTAATCTTTAAACAAAATAATAAAAGTAATAAAAGAAAAATGGAATAAAACATTTCACAAATTTATATTAATTATAAAATATAAATAACAATAGCTATAGATTACAGGATTGTCACTCGATTTTGTAAGCCAAATTTAAAGTACGAAATTATAGAGTCGTGTGTGCGGAGCAAAAGATGTAAGAAAAATGGAAATTGTAAGAATAATTGATAAGTTTACGAAAAACAGACACAAAGAAAGAAAAATGTAAAATAACATATTATACCTGATTGGATAAATAAAAGATTTTGATATTTTATTTAAGACTCCTATTCACTACTACTATCTCAGATCGTGATGTCAAAAGCGAAAAAAGCATAAATTTTTGTAAAAAGAATTATATATATATGTATATATAAATAAAAACATTTTTCAATAAAATAACATTTGCAATCAATTGACTTATAAAAACCTATAAATTGTTTAATAACAATAAATGTCATATCAACACATATTTAGAAATTGTATTTCTTTATGATCATTTATCAAAATAACAAAATATACTGATTTTTGAATAATATCAAATCATATGAGAAAGAGAGAGAGAGAGAGAGAGAGAGGGCACATAAATAAATAATTTATTGTTATTTTGCTCCATTTATCTTCATTCTTACAAATATTACTTTTCATCGAAGATAATGTACTTATAGCTAAATTAAATTAAATATTTAACTTCTAAGAACAGAACGACATATTGTTTATACTCTGTTAGCAAATTACATTTTATATATTAATATAATAATTCGATTAAGTTTTTTAACGACGTAATGTAATTAGCTCATCATTACAATAATATCATTTATGTATGATAAAATAGTACTTTGTTTTATTGATCTTCAACAGGAAAGCGACTTTAAAATTAATCATTATCCATAAATTATACTACATATGTATCTATTAAGTTCATCAGCTAAAGGAATATATTAATTTGTCATAATCTAAATAATTATATTCTAATTAAGATAAGCTTGCTATTACATTATGTCATACAACTTAATTCATTATAGGTATATAGTGCATTACATTATTTTCTCTGTGTGTGTGTGTGTGTGTGTCTTGCATTATAGTGCTTCTCAAAATACGCGCGCGCATACGGCACAATTCAACAATATGTTTAGTGTATAAAATATTATATAATAATTAATAAAATCTAATTTATTTTGTATTTGTATTTTAATATACTAACATTTATGAAAAAATTTTGTAATTACATTTAATTCTAAATTAAGACAAATAAATACTACTAAGATCGAATTAAATGTTCTAAATATCTCTTTATTAGAACTTATGATAACAAATGCGTGTATTTAAAACTAAGAATATGAAGAATATAAAGATGATTAATTAGAAATAGCATACACAGATGATTACACGTCATTATATCAGTATCTCATACGCACGCCACACATAGGTACATAAATTTTTTCGTATAACAATTACATTTTAATTAGATATCTAACAATAAGTCCAATTTTAAGAACTCCATGCTGTTTCTTTATACAAACTACTGATCTGTGAACTACTATTTCGTAAGTACAGATTGCACAGCTTTTATATGAAGCAAATGTTATCACGATGTTCAATGATGTGGCAACTTCGGAGAGCCATATTAGACTAAGAAATGGTAAAGAAGAAAAATGGTAAACACAATTTTAAAATTTTTAGTCGTTTTTAACGTAGACTTAATTCTGAAAAAGGATATTTCAAATCAGTAAAAGAGGAGAAAAGTAATTGTTATACAAAAATTATGTTTTAGTCGGTAATACAGACAACTTTAGAATCCCCTTAAATCTCAAAGCACAGTAAAAAAGAAATGTTTCCTAAACATTCTCTTGTACAATAAACAAAGTGCAATACCGAATCAAATTATAATTAACTGTAATTTTTAAGAATCATTAATCTGTTTAGATCCTATATTGATACCTTTTCTATTCTGAAAAAAATTAATATATGGATAGCACATTACAGAAATTACATATTATTACATTAAACACTCTATTTTAGAGATAACAGATCGAAGAGCGCCATGGATACTTAATGACTAACATACGATAGGTATTGCCTTACTTTTA